TTCTGAACAAAGAGCTAAAATAAATGTGAATAAAGAACTGACAGATAACCTACCCACCCTCTCTTGATGGACACGACTTCCGGTCCTTAGGTTTTGCAGTGGTTCAGCTGTTCATGAATATGGTCTAACTGATTACGTGATGTGGTGGACTGTTGCTGTTTGTTTGCTCTAATGGTTAAAATACAGGTTTGTATTTGGTTAAGCCCATGGCTGTGATGGTATTCCCCAGTTGTCTGAGGGGGAAGGAGTTATTTTTAAGTGAATTTACAGCAGCTCGGAGGTGGCTTTCAGTATGACTGGGGATCAGAGGATAAGCCCCTCCCCTCTGGGATTAAAGTTTGCCGGCCCTGCCTACACAAGGGAGAGGTGATTTCCCAGGAGTAAGGAGTCAAGGACTGCCCCACTCTGGACCACCAAGAAGGAAGCTTCACGGTAAGTGAATACAAATCTTCCATTTCCCCCCAAAATTGTGCACACAAAGCATCCTAAATTTAAAATTATGATACTTCTGTATATAGCATTTTTATTCTCAGTCTGTATAATGAGTGACAAAAACCTCTCTTTTAACCCATACTTGAAGTTGAGCTGTTCACAGTCAAATGAAATAATAGGTCATGCTTCACCAAAATAGATGGGAATTTTGTAACTGGCTACAGTGGCTTTTACATCCAAAAAACATAAATGAAACAGGGCATGGGTGTTTGTGTGTGTCCTCATGCATGTGAGCCAGAGATCCTATTAATAGTGCACATTCTTATACAGGAATGTTACCTTAGCGAAGAAAAAAACTAGGGTTGCCATCTCTGGGTTGGGAAATACCTGGAGATTTTGGGGGTGGAGCCAAAGGAGGGCGGGGTTTGGGGAGGGGAAGGGTTTAAATTCCATAGAGTCCAGTTGCCGAAGCAGCCATTTTCTCCAGGTCAACTGATCTCTGTCGCCTGGAGATCAGTTGTAATAGCAGGAGATCTCCAGCCACCACCTGGAGGCTGTATCAATATAAAGACACTCCGTGAATGAATTACGAACAAAAGCAGAAAGCTTCTGTTGTGCAAAACAATTCAAACAGTTTTAAATCTTTGTTAAAGTTCAACAAACCCTTATATATTCTTAAAGAGCTAGGATCAGAAAGTACTTGATACAAAGGGAAAACTCAAGTAAAGTCCACAAATCCTTTGTATTAAGACAAACTTCAGGAGAGCAAAGGTTCTGCGTCTTGTAGGAGCAGCACGTGTGCATCGCCCTTCAGACCTGCACTGGCACACAAATTGTTCCCTATCAGCATTTTATCCTTTGATGTGCATTAACAAAGAATTGATGGAATGTAGTATTTTGGCAAGTATGCTATTTTATTTTGATAGGGTGTTTTAGCTGTGAAGTAACGCATCAAAAGAGGATTGATTCATCATGACTGTAACTGATCCATCTGCTTTTTAAAATGTAAAAGTTTTTTGCCATGTCTGACAATGTACCTCTAAAACAAACAAATAAAGTGTATACTGGTTATAATCTGCAACAGATTGCCAAGGCACTTTTCAGGGAAAACAGAGAAAACCCATTTATTAGAAAAAACAGTATAACAGAAATATTCTGTGGATTTTCCATGGAAACCTGAAAACATGGGAAAGCATAGTGAAGAACAGCAGTGGGGAAAAGGACAGATATCAGAAATCCTTCCTGCAGATATGCCTGTTATTACTCTGAAAACTAAGCTTCAGTGGGCAAAAAGAAACTGCAATGAAAGAGGCTTTCAAATACTTAATCATTTTATAACCCATGCAGTTTTTTCCCTTTAATTGCTCAAAACAAGATCAGGACAGGCTGTGAACTTAAAACTTTTCTGCCATTGTAACCTGCCTTTCTACCATTATCTTGCAGGACTATCTGCCAGGCTCCCAGAAATCATGTCAGTAGGATCACATTCATCCTCCCCAGGAGGCCCTAATGGGATTATTAGAAGTCAGTCCTTCGCTGGCTTCAGCGGTCTTCAAGAAAGACGATCCAGGCAAGTACTATCTTCAGAACTAAGCTTTCATTTTGTAAACAAACAAACAAACAAAACCCACACACACAAAGAAAAAACGCTTAGGAAATCAGCCCTTTCTATTCCACTGTCATCTATACAGCAAAGGAAACCTCTGTTATAGATCTGAAAATGGACAAAACATTGCTGGTGACACACAAACCCAAACAAAGGAAGAGGGAAGAAACAATCCTTTCTTACCAGAGTATATCTCCTTGACTTTTCCTGTCCTTTGACCTTAAGAAGATTCTTCCTCTGCTCCGTTATTTTTGAATGTTTACACGAGTGTCAATTAAAAGAATATCCATCTTTGCCTCCACAGTTAGACTTTGTCCCATTACCTCTGATTCAGGTTAAATAGCCCGTTTTATTCAGATCCAGTTGGACAGACGTGTTGGTTCTGAAGGAAATTTGTTTTTCAGGTCCAATTTGGTTTAGTTTGATGTATTCTCTTTGGTATGTGTGAGGACATCACATATTGTTTACAGCCACAGTTTTCAAGACTGGGATAGCAAGCATAGAAACAATCACATAAATAAAAAAGGCCTTTCTTGGCTTAGAATATAGATTTTAAAATTATTTTTAACAGATACCAATAGCCTAGGGTTGCCAGGTCTGGGTTGGAAAATACCTGGAGACTTTGGGGGTGGATCCAGGAGAGGGAGGGGTTTAGGGGGGGGGACCTCAGCATGGTACAGTGCCATAGAGTCCACCCTTCAAAGCAGCCATTTTCCACGGTGGAGCTGATCTGGAGATCAGTTGTAAAAGTGGAAGATCTCCAGGCCCCACCTGGCAGCCCTACAATAGCCCAGTTAGACTTATTCCAGTTTTTGAGAGATCTTACCTGTGTCCTTTTGGTCTTTACTTCTGAGACAGATTCTACTAAGGGAATGTAATTCAAAAAAAATTTTTTTTTAGTTCGATAGCAGATAGTCAGGAAGGACATGATTATTGTTTTCATTGTATATCAAAGAATATTATCATTTTAGTAAGTCATATGTGGGAAAATTTCCATTCTAATAAATTTTGGAACACTACTTCCAATTTTGCACTCTTTCTGGAGGAAATTAAAATGGTAGTTTTTGGAGTGCCCCCCCACCCGAGGCAGCAGGAGAAGGGAGGGAGAGGAGGAGGAGAAGAGGAGGAGGAGGAGGAGGAGGAGGAGGAGGAGAAGGAGACTGGATTTATACCCTGCCCTTTACTCAGAGTCTCAGAGCGGCTTACAGACTCCTTTCCCTTCCCGTCCCCACAACAGACACCCTGTGAGGTAGGTGGGGCTGAGAGAGCTCTTTTCAAAACCAGCTCTGACAGAACTATGGCTTGCCCAAGGTCATCCAGCAGGTGCAAGTGGAGGAGTGGGGAATCAAACCCGGTTCTCCCAGATTAGAGTCCACACACTTAACCACTACACCAAACTGGAGAGGAAGCAAGGCCCGGCTCCCAGGTGGTCCATGGTGCCCATTGTACTTTATTTTCTCTGGGCGGTAATTTTCTCTGGGCCTTTTAAACTTTGAGGGGCCAGTTTGCCAAGGACCAGCCAGGAGCCAGGCTTTGCTTCCTCTCCTTCCCTCTCTTCCTCTGCTGCCTTCCTGACACAATTCCCAATTCCAATATTATTGGAGGTGGAAATATTAGAATTAGGAACCATTGGGGTGACCTTGCCTAAAATCTGGTATTGTTGATCTAATCTGATACAAGAAATATGACACATTTTACTGGAGCAACAGTATCCAGTTGTGTGCCTCTAGAATCTACCTCTCTGGTGCTGCAGCTGTTATCTCCGATTTGTCCAACATACAATGATGGCTTAATTTAAATGATCCTCAGCAAGAAGCTAGTGCTCATAATTGTCGTGGAACTTTTAAAAATTTAGGCTAGCTTTAGTGGCCAGTGTTAAGCTCATTCCAAGCTGTGGCAGTTTAAGGCACAAACTACCACAAACCTGCCGCAGCCTGCACAAGCCCCATTTAAATAAATAGGTTTTTTAAAGAGTGCCTGTTTTGGATTATGCCCTCATTTTTTTATGATAATCAACATCCTGCCTTAACCAAGGAAGCTAACAGCCAACAAAATCCACAGTGCAACCGCCATTAGGTACAGTACAGTTATAAACAGCACTACACAGCAAGTAATTAAACTGTTATCAAGATGTTCCCATTAACTTTTTAAAAATTCCTTGTATATGCAAGATATGTTTTAAATCTGTCATCATCAGCTACCTTTATTGGCATCACAACAAAACATAGATCATCAAGGGATAAAGGGTACAACCTTTATTGCTGGAGTTGAAACGTTCCTCTCCTCTTAGTGGCACAACATAGAAATTTTTGCACCAAATCAGTGATCTCAGAGTTATGGGAAGATAGTAAAAAAACCGTCTTGCAAACATCAGATTGACCCTTGCGAATTTGTAGCAGAGGCTCTAGATATATGGCACGAATATCACAGTAAAACACACAGTGCAGGAGAACATGTTCAGTACTTTCTATCTGTCATTACCCTTGCACTTGCAGTGGGGCAAGCTGTTTTAAGCTGTATCTAAATAAAACAAATGAGGTGGAATTGTAAAAGTATTTAGAGGTCTCAGCAAGTGGGGTATCAAATGCTGGCAGCTTGTTGTGTCATTGTTGACTCAGACCAATTAACCCTAAAATAGTCCTGTGGGAGGCACCACAAGAAGCAAACTGCTTTTACCCAGGAAAGGTTAACTTAAGGAAAGCTCTTTAAGTGATGCTTTTTGAGATGAAGAGATTCTTGTGGTTTACAGCTCTCTCTCTCTCCCCCCCCCTTCCTGCCCCACACTCTTAATGTTCTTCTTTTAGGTGCAACTCCTTCATTGAAAATTCCTCTGCCCTCAAGAAACCCCAGGCAAAAGTGAAGAAGGCGCACAATTTGGGGCACAAGAGCAACAGCACTCCTAAAGAGCCTCAGCCTGAAAGGATGGAAGAGGTTTACAAGGCATTAAAGAATGGACTCGAGTAAGAGCTTGACTCTCTGAAAGAAATAAGAGTTTAGTGTCTGATTTTCAACCAATGCATGATGTTTACTAGCTCTGAAGCAGAAAGGAGCTCTTGCTTATCTAACAACTTGTGACTGATTCATGCTGACCTTAGTTCCATTGCATCTTTTCAGTCCAGGTCATCTTATGGTTGCTTCGTGAGGTGTTCAGCTGTATAAGCGCTAATGCTACGAGGGGACACTGTGTCAGTGGGCTTAGAAAGGCATAACTCTGCCTTGAGTGCCACTGTAAGAGAAGTGGAAGGAAAAGTAGTTTCTGCTTTGCCTCAACGGACTTTCTGTCAGCCTGCCTGTGGCGGGGAGGGCGGGGTAAAAATTGAATAAATAAATAAGAAATTAAGGCCCCGGTCACACGGAGAATTTGCCGTGCAAAAGGCACGAATGCTGGGCGGATTTTTGGGGTGTGATCACACCACAACATCTGGCAAGCATAGTGCACCCATGGCCAACCCGTGGCGTGCCGCCGAAGATGCACAGTTAAAAAGTACCTGCAAAGATCTACTAGCAAATGGTTTGCCACGGGCTGCAGATGACTCGTTCGGTGTGATCGCACCGGCGCGCGCCTATTCCCTCTGGCTATCCTCTTTGCAGCGCACACCGAAGGATGAAACCCTGGTGCACTGCCGTTGCGTCTGATCACATAATGGCGGATCAGAATGTGACAGCGCAAATAGCCACCACCACCACCCGTGTTTTCCGGCATGTGTGGCCGGGGCCTAAATAAGGTTGTCTGCTAACCTACCACCATTTAAGTACGTTGTTGCTGCAGAAAAGGGCTAGCCTATGCTAACTCTCAGGTGCTTTATTTTAGCCCATGCCAAGATGGTTGTGTGTATGTGTGGTTGTGGCTGTAATGTGGCTTTTGAGATGCCATTATTATTTCCCATGTACTGGGATGACAAAAGCCTGTTGTGACAGGTGGCAGTACATCTGCACAACTGGTCTGGAACAGGCTGGAGTTGTTGCCACATGGTATAGTCCTGTTGATTGGCCCCATTCATAAACCCAGATTCAGGGTTGCTTGTTCCCTAGTAGCTGTCTGATTACTGTGCTAGAAGCACACTCACAGTACTGTGACTCCGCTTGTTGGGATTTAGGCTCTGACAGAGTGGAGAAAGGAATTTCAGTGTATAGGGGGAAACTTCCCATATATTCTCCTCATTAACAGCTTGTTCACAGAGGGGCATCTCCAGAGGGTTGTTCTAGTTAATTATAGAGACCCTTTTATTTGGTAAGCAGACTGGAGGTAACCAGGTGGCTCTTTTAGAACCTAACTCCACTGAAATTAATTGAAGCTTTGCAAGAACCATAAAGTGGTCAGATCCCCCTGAAATTGCACGGTCATGCTCCTGTGTAGTTCACATTCATTTCAGTGGGGGCTTCTATGAGGACACTTCCTGGTGGATTGTGCCTTAATTTTTCTTTAACATGGTTTGTTCAATCTGTTCTTCTACTTTTAGAAGAACCTTCCTCCACGGAAGAGGCATGTACTGCTGGAGCACAGCTCTGCACCAGAGAAACGCTCCGCTGTTAGCAGAATAGAGATACAGGATCCCACTAACTGGGCTGGAGTCAAACCTCATTTTCTGCTAGTGGAAGGACACTTCCACTAACAGAGAAGGAGGAGTGGCTGGATGACATTGTTCCCAGCGTTGTTCCCATGGGGACCTTGGACCCTTGGGGGGGGGCGGGGGGGCTGCAGGAAGAAGGGAGGGCAAGAAAGTTCCTCTCTGATGTGAGCAGCATTCTTCTCACAGTACTTTGGGTTCAGTTTACTGTTTGTAAATGTGTTACATGTTCTCTGCATGCAAGGGTGTGGTGAGCTTAGAATCAGATACATTAATTACACAATCAGCAATTTTTGAAAGTGATTTATAGTTACATTTTTAATTTCTAACAAGTTATAGAAAAATTTTTCAAAATTAAGTCAGATGTTTAGTTCAAATGGAGCTGCGGTGGCTCAAGTGGTTAAGACACTGAACTGCAGGCTGTGGAAGGTCGGTAGTTCAGCAGTTCGAGACCCGAGTGTGCCGCATGACAGGGTGAGCTCCTGTCTCTAGTTCCAGCTCCTGCCAACCTAGCAGTTCGAAAGCAAGAAATGGCAAGTAGATAAATAGGGACCACTTCAGTGGGAAGGTAACAGCGTTCCGTGCGCCTTGGCGTTTAGTCATGCCGGCCACATGACCACGGAAACATCTTCGGACAGCGCTGGCTCTTCGGCTTTGAAACAGAGATGAGCACCGCAACCCTAGAGTCGGATTCGACTGGCTTTCGAGCAAGGGAACCTTTACCTTTACCTTTTTAGTTCAAATAAATAAATTGGCTATTTGAATATTAACAAAATGATGCTTCATTCATGCATCCCGAAGTTGCATCCTTTTTCGTACACCTTTTGTTGTTGTTCAGTCGCACAGTCGAGTCCGACTCTTCGCAACCCCATGGACCAGATCACGCCAGGCCTTCCTGTCTTCCGCCGTCCTCTGAAGTTTGCTCAATTTCATGTTCGTTGCATCTATGACACTGTCATACACCTTACCAGTATCTATATTCATATTATTTTGTTTTCAGTTTCATAATGTAATATAATTGGTACTTTTATTATCTGATTTAGAAGAGAAGAAGATGGCACATTGGGGAGAATTTGGTTCTAGCCATGGCTTCATTAAACTCATTTACTTGCTCACATAATTTGTGGCAAGCACAATATTTTGGGAAACAGATTTTGCCTTTTACAGAGATCAGAAACCAGCACTTAAATACTGAAATGTAACAGACCTGATGCTTCTGTTTTTGGTTTATGTTTACAGTGAATATCTAGAAGTGCATCAGACAGAGCTGGATAAGTTGACTGCTCAGCTAAAGGACATGAAAAGAAACTCACGCCTGGTATGTCTCATCACAGAGCTCATGAGCAGGGACTGGAGTTTCTCTAACTAAGTTGGTGGCTCATGGACAGAATTTAAAGCAGGACTGAGATGCTGGAATCATGCTATTGAAAACAAATTACACTGTCAGGTTGCATACATTTGTTCAAAAGAGTGCTTGTGTAAAGAATTTACTGACTGATAGAAATTTTTTATTTGAGGAGAATATTCATATGAGGGTCTTTTCAAACAGTCCTTCTTCCCTGAAATGTGGGGTTACAATCACCAGCAGAATTATGCTGTCTCACTTAGGGACATTAGAATTAGCATGACCTATACCTGACCAATACTGGAGCACCCATCATTAATCTTGTACTGTTCAGTTTTCTCATCACATGTCTATTCAAAGCGGATCCACTCTGACATTTTCTCCCCATCTCTGATAGTAATCGTCTTGTGTGGATACTTGGGCAGTTCTTCCACAATGTTATTCATAGGAAGCCCATTTATGCCAGACATAGGATGATGATGAAAGAACCAAAACCTTGCTCATCCATTTCTCTAGTCTTCTTCCATGATCTATCAAGGCAAACACATTTCAATACATGCTGCAAAGGGTGACTGACAGTGGAGAAAAAGTAACTTTGTGAATCTGTCATAATTTTTCCTACGTGAGGAGAAATCTGTTGGACATGAAACAGGAGAGATCATTCACTTTTTAAAATGTTACCATCCAGCTCTACTAAATAAATATAAAAAAAGGAAACTAAATTTTTTGTAGTTGCTCACTGATCACCGTAACATGGGTTAAAACCCCTGTAGCAATGAAAGTGTGTGTGTGTGTGTGTGTGTGTATGCTGTCAAGTTGCAGCCAATGTATGGCAACCCTGCAAGGTTTTCAAGGCAAGAGACGTTCAGAGGTGGATTGCCTCTACAGAGCAACCTTAGACTTCCTTGGAGGTCTCCCATCCAAGTGCTAACCAGGGCTGACCCTGCTTAGCTCCTGAAATCTGACAGGTTCAGGCTATCTAGGTTAAGGCATTATATTATAACCCAGGAGAAAACAGGCAGGCAGAGCAGCAGATTCCAGGTTCCTAAGATCTCCTTTTAAAAGGAGCAGGTAGTAGGTGATGTGAAATACTTCTACCTGAGGCCCTGGAGAGCTGCTGCCAGTCTCAGCAGACAACTGTGACACTGATAGACCAATGGTGTGACTCCATTTAAGGCATTTTTTTGTGTTCCGCTTTCACCTAACATGAGTCATCAAAACAAGATTAAGAAGTCTTTTATTCTCTACCCAGACCAAATAGTTACTTTTCTGTTTTGCATAATAATTTTATGTGCACTTATTCAGTGGGACCTTAATTTGTGCTTTTTTCCATTTTGCATAATAATTTCATGTGCACTTATTCAGTAGGACCTTAATTTGTGCTTCATTTTGGCACCGTTTGATTTTGGTACTGTGTCTAGCCACATAATGTTTCTTTCCTTGGAATAATGTCTTCTATACTAATTAATCTTTTCAATTCATTCATTACAGGGGGTGCTGTATGATCTAGATAAGGTAAGTTGCCCTGTTGGTCCATTGTACCACAATAAATAGATAAGAGTTTAATCCCTTCTGGCAGCAGAGCATATGGTTAAGGTGCAGTGAACTTAGGCAACCCGCCTGAAATTGTGCCAGAGTTAAAGAAGAGTATGGGATCAGGCTGTTGATCTTGAGTCTTTAAATCATTCCATCTACAGCAGCTACTTTCTGGCTGGAAGAATGATTTCAAAAAGTGGCTTGAAGACTGTGGCCCATGGCTTTTGCCATGTAGTGCAGCTCAGTATTGCTCTCAGTAAATACACAAATACCCAATATTTAGAACACAACATCACTTTAGTTTAGAGAGAACTGAACAAAGCCTGGAAATGAATTGCTTGTATTAACCTAAAGGCCTTGTCTGTAAAAACAAAATCACAAATGTTTTTTTAATTTATTTTAGCCAGTAGAATGACATTTAAAGTTTATTATACTGTTCTTATATCCAAAAACAAAAAAACACTTGATTGAAATCCAAAGTGCTTGTAAGGAAAGATGGTGTTTTGAAGGATGAAGTGGTTTAGGTAGCAAGTTGTACGAATGTGCAGATCGGTTGTGCTGATCATGGTTGTCATTCTTCTCACTCTAGTAATTTTTAATTTCTTTTATAGCAAATCAAAGCTATTGAAAGATATATGAGAAAGTTGGAATTCCACATCAGCAAGGTAATCAACTATCCTTTCATCTTGCCTCCCACTTTGTTCTTAAACTATTTATCAGAAGCTTCTTTAGTATTATTCTGTATTCTGCAGAATACATTCCCACAAAGCATCTCTTCAAATAGAATTAGCTTAGGATATATAAGCACTGTTGTGGGGGGCATAAAATAAGATAAAGTTCAGCCTGTGAAGGAATTTACTGGAAATACTCAGCGTTGCCATGACACAGTAATTGGGGGCAGCTTTGTGTGTTTATAAAGGAGTAGGGGAATGGAATTACACTTCCAAGCAATCTGGGAAAAGCACACTTGCACATCTTCCCTATACTAAGAATATGCGTTACCTCTGTAGTCCTAGTCCTTCTACATTGCTTCTTAGTTTTCTGAGCCTGTTGCCTGTATTGACTTATACCTTGACTCTCAGTGAGACTATAAATGAAGTAAATGAATAAATAAGTACCCCCACCTTGATAGATATGCTGGAGAGAGGGTCCATCAAAAATCATGCATGCATCACTAATCTCTGTGTGGCACAGCTTACAAAAAGTGACACATTCTGTCCTGTCATTTGCTCTGTTTCCGGGCGGTAAATCTGCCGTGGAGCTAGCCCATTTGTCTTGAAGGAGAAGAGTGACTCCTTGACTTGAAGCATAGTAATCAATGAAATCCTAAGTATGTGGCAAGATCTATTCAATTCATGGTCTTATGACATCTGTTTTAGTCATAAGAGACTGCCATTTTGTTATGTCTTTCCCAGTGTTTATGAAATGATTTGTTTGTATCAGGGGTCCACAGCGTGGTGCCTGCCAACACCTTGCCAGGTGCCCACCAAGGGTTTTTGGAAGTGGGTGGGGCCAGGTAGGGCTTCGCCGGGCAAGGCTATTGACCGGCTGTTGGACAGCTGATTGGTTGCACATATTTTTTATAATGGTACTTTGGCAGCAGCTGCCACCATGGTAACACCCCTCTTGAAGAAGCCATCTTTAGATCCATTGGATCTGGCCAATCTGCCCAGTCTCGAATGTTTCATTTCTGAGCAAGGTAATTGTGAGAGCAGTGGTGGAGCAGCTCCAGAGTTTCCTGGATAACACGTCGGCCCTAGACCCATTCCAGTCCAGCTTCTGCCCTGGCCATGGAACAGAGGTGTGTTTGGTAGCCCTCACGGATGATCTCTGCAGACAGCTGGACGAGGTGGGTCAGCACTGCTGTTACTATTAGATCTGATGGCAGCGTTCAACACAGTCGACTATGGTTTGTTGGCTCACCGCCTTGCTGATGTAGGAGTTCGTGGGGTAGCCTTGAAATGGCTTACCTCATTTCTCTAGGATTGGAGACAGAGGGTGGTGCTAGGAGAGAGGGTGTCACCCCGTCACCCTCTGGTGCATGGGGTCCCCCAAGGGGTGATCCTCTCTCCTATGTTGTTCAACATCTTTATGTGCCCTCTCGTCCAGTGCGGAGTTTGGGGCTGGGTTGTCACCAGTAAGCTGATGACACCCAGCTGTACCTGCTGATGGATGACTGGCCAGCTGTCACCCCTTCTAATTTGGCTGAGGGATTGGAGGCCATGACTGGATGGTTGACACAGAGCTGGCTGAGACTGAATCCAACAAAGATGGGGGTCCTGTGGCTGGGTGGGGGTGACCCAAGGTTGGGGTGCCAACTCCCAGCATTTATTTATTTATTTAAGTATTTTTACCCCGCCCTCCCCGCAAGCGGGCTCAGGGCGGCTTACAGAGGGTAGCGTGCCACTAACACCAGCACCAACCATTAAGAGCTTGGGTGTGCTGCTGGACACCTCATTACCTATAGAGGCTCAGGTTGCAAGGGTTGCCAGGCTGGCGTTCTTCCAGCTGCACCAAGTCAGGCAACTGGCCCCCTTCCTCTCTAGCCCTGACCTTGCCACAGCGATCCACACAACAGTCACCTCAAGGCTTGATTACTGCAACTCACTCTGGGTAGGACTGCCCTTGAAGCTGACCTGGAAATGCAGCGATGTGGGCACACACAGGTACCCCAGTGATGGCACACATTCAATTAGTCCTTCACCAGCTGCATTGGCTCCAAGATGAGTACTGGATCCACTTCAAGGTTCTGTTTTTGACCTTTAAGGCCCTGAATGGACTAGGGCTAACATGCCTGCAACCTGCAGGACCACCTCTCCCAGTACATCCCCCACAGAGCCCTGTGCTCAGAACATCAAAACCTACTGGTGATCCCTGGCCCAAAAGACATCTGGCTGTCTTCAACTAGAGCTGAAGTTTTCTCAGCCCTGGCTCCTGCCTGGTAGAACTCTCTACTTGGTGACATCCGTGACCTGCGGGACCTAGCACAGTTCCACAGGGCATGCAAGACAGAATTGTTCCACCAGGCTAATAGTTGAGGACAGAAATGGCCTTCACCATGTTTGGCCTACAGTCATCCTTTGGAGGGAAAGAAACAACATTATACGCCATTGATGTTTAGCTGATGTTGCCTGATTTTATTGTAATTTAATTAACTGTTTCATTTTTACCTTTTGTTTAATAATGATGTACACCGCCCTGAGCTCTCTGGGGTAGGGCGGTTTATAAATCAAATAAATAAAAAGGATCTTCACTGTGTGACTGAAGTTAAGCTGTGTAATCATTTTGTGGCTGGCTCTGCCTCCTGCAGCCCCCATTTTGTGACAGAACTTTGTTGCTGAGCCCACCATTGCCATGTCAGAATTCCACAGGTGCCCGTGGGCTCAAAAAGGTTGGGGACCCCTGCTTTAAATAATGATACCGTCTTTTTTATGGGTGGAATCTTTGTGCATAGAGACACATTAAATGGCCCAGTGTCAGTGAAGGCGTGGCCATTAAAGGCCAGGCCACCCTATGCTAGTAATGGCGTGCAGGTTTTTGCCTACATTTCACATGTCCCCAAGTGTAGCACTTGATTTTTCCCTGCAGCAGTATCTAACAATATAGATCTGTTGTCTACCTTCACTTAATGGTCTTATAGTAGGGCATGACATTTTTTCATTATTCCCAAACTCACACGTCAAATATTCACCAAGAAAACAGATTCCAAATAACATGTTCCCTGCCAGCAACATTTTGTGCAGTAGTGTACTTTGTGTTCAAGTCCCTCCTACTCAGAACAAAATGATTTCAGTGTTCTAAAGAGTGAGTTGGTACAGAGCTAAATCCTTACATAAAAGTGTTCAATATACCAGCTTTCTGTTCTGTAACACCAGCTTCATGTGAGGCAAGGTTTTATAAGGCAAAAACATGAGATAATTTTTTAAATTGGAAAGCAACAGAAGATTTCGATTATATTTATGCTATCTTTCTATGACAGCTGAATCTGAAGTTGAATTTTGAACAGGAAACAAAGCAAGGGAAACAGGAAATATAGTTGCAAATGACAGGTCTGTACCATAGCAGATGGGTTTGTGGTGTGTGTGCTCAGGAGAGAGCGAGAATGTTATTCACCACTCTTGTTAACAGAAGTAAACAGCAAATGACAACTATTTATAGTAGCTCTTTAGAATGGAGACAGACAGCCTGACCTTCAAGGGTCATACCACTTAAAGCCTTGTTAAATTGATTTGTGAATCTGCCACTAGTGCCGAACTTTGAGAACTGGTTTAACAATAAAAAGAATGTTAACAGATATATGTATCTCAAAAAAGGTTTTGGTTTTTTTTAAATAACATTCTATTAATAAATGCAAAGAAAAATAGCAATTAACAAAACAGGTAAGTTGGAGTATACAGGAAAAGAGTGCTAGAGTTGCTAAAAATAGTATTACATTTTCAAAGTTACAGTATCAAGTTACATTTTTCAGATCAATGAGACATTCACATCTTACCATAGGTTTAAGTCATTAACTGTAGTAGGGATTTCACCCTGATCAATTAAATAATTCACAATAGGGAACCAAATCATAGCATGATCTAATGAAGATTTGTATACATCTCTTCCATCTACATTTTCTGTTATTTTTGACATTATATAGAACTTCCAAAGTTTTAATACTTTTTCAGTTTCCACAAATAACAAAGGAACTAAAACCAATCCATTTAGAATTCACATTATTCCAAATATAAAGTTCATCTTCCTAATTTAACAATTATTATCTTTAACTAGCATTCTTTCACTCCAAATTTATCTTCTTCATTTTCAGCCAGTCGTATATTATTCCCCATCTCTTCCAAAAATCTTCCTCTGGCTTATTTTGTAATATTATAGTCAATTTGTCCATTTCAGCTATCTCCAATATCTTGTATTTGAGTTCTCTTATTGAGGGTATATTTTTAGATTTCCATCGCCTTGCTATCAATATTCTAGCTGCGGTTAAGAAGTATGTAATTATTTGTGTATGGTTTTTTATTTTGTCCGGTATCATATTAAGTAACCATATTTCTGGTATTAAAGGGATATTGATTTTTAGGACATCCAAAAATATTTTGGCAATTTTTCCCCAAAATTTCTGAATTTTGTCACACCTCCACCATATGTGGAGGTGCGTTCCTACATTTTTTCCACATCTCCAACACAAATTGGACGCTTTTGGAAAACACTTTGCTACCTTGGCAGGGGTCCAGTGCCACCTATATAACATTTTATAAATGTTTTCCTTATACGGGTAGCTCTCATAAATTTTAAATAATTCCATATTTTAGTCCATTGTTCTGCCTCTATTGGATGGCCAATCTCTTTTATCCATGCTAACATTGACGTTTTTATAGTTTCTTCTTGTAAGAAATCCTCTATCAACATGGTATAGAGTTTCTGTATAAGCTTATCACTGGAAGATAACCAGATTTTGTCAAAGTCATTTAAACTAGTGTAGAATCCTATTTTTTTATCTTCATTATACGGTGCTTTTAATACGTTTTTCCCCCACCAGGATAACTTTATATTATGTTTCAATAATATCTCATCCGAATTCAATTCAGCCTGTTTATTTAGTAATTTACCATAGTTTTCATTAATTTTTCCTACTTTAAGTGAAGGTTTAGCAAATGCCTCTATCGGAGAGATCCATATTGGTATTTTCATATAGTTTTTATATTTTATTGCGTTCCACACTTTAATAAGAGAGCTTCTAATTATATTTGTATGGAAATTAGAGTGTATTTTATCCTTCTTGTACCATAGGTACGCATGCCATCCCATTACTAAATCTGATCCTTCTAACGCCAATGTTCTAAGGTCTTCTAGCACTGCCCATTCTTTAATCCATACCATTGAAGCTGCGAAGTAATACAATTGCCAATTAGGCAATGCAAAACCTCCTCTCTTTTTGCTGTTCTGAAGGTATTTAATTTTTATTCTCGGTTTTTTTGACTGCCAAATGAAGTTATTTATAGTTTTCTCCAAATCTTTAAAATACTTATAATTTTTAAGTATTGGTAGGTTCTGTGCAAGAAAAAGGAATCTTGGCAAGATATTCATTTTAGCTGTCGCAATCCTGCCCAATAAAGATGTATTTTATCCCAGTGCTTTAAATCCCCTTTTATGTCTTTTAAGAGCTGTAGGTAATTATTATCATATAACATCGATGTTTTATTTGAAATCCATATTCCTAAATATTTCGCTTTCTCCACAATTTCCATTTTGGATATCTCTTTTATTCTTAGAATCGTTTCCTGTGGGCAATTTTTAGCTAAGATTTTAGTCTTTTGAACATTGATTCTAAAGCCTGCAAAGTTCCCAAATTCCTGAATATCTTCTAGTAGGTGCTTTAAAGAGTAATCTGGATCTTCTAATATAACAATCAGGTCATCTGCAAAAGCTTGTAGTTTATAAGTTTCACCTCTTACTTTCAAACCTTTTATCCTTTCATTGTTTCTTATCCTTTCAGCTAATGACTCAATAGTAAAGATAAACAATAGGGGAGATAGGGGACAACCCTGTCTAGTGTCTTTTTGAATGGGAATATTCTGAGTGGTCTCCCCATTAACCAGAATTTTGGCATTTGGGGTATTGTATATGGCCATTATCATTGTAAGAAAGTTATTCCCACATTCCCAGGCCTTAAACTTTTTTAACATGTAATTCCAATTAATATTATCAAATGCTTTTTCTGTGTCTAATAGAGTTAATATCATTGGCTTCCCCGGATGCAGTTCATAGTATTCTAACACATTGATTATATTTCTAATACAAAATACAGAACTTCCAAAATTTAGCATGCCAATGATGTTGTTGAGGACTTTTAGTGTCTTTCCAAAATAAGGCTACTGCATTTTTGGCTGCTGCCACTGTTTCTTTTTTAATGAAGTGTCATTGCGCTATTGAAAAGATAAACTTTTACATATACAGGCCTACCATTTTAACCACACTGTGTGAGATCCAATACTTCTTTGAGCTGAGTGAGTTCACGGAAGTGTTGTTAGGCTTCTCATTCCCCCAGTAACCATCTGTATTCCTTCCCAGCCCTGTGTCCTGTGGCACTTAGGGCTACAGCAAGAATCATCCTCATTTCCATGGCATGAGTGGATTAAGTTCAAGCCTCATACAAAGAAAGAAGGGCAACACATGTTGTGTGCCCCCTTCTGGCTGCTGCTCACTTTGCTATATAGCAGCATTTCCCAACCTGTGGGTTGCAAAGCCTCTGAAAGTGGGTCTCAGGCCAGCCCTTCCTAATGGTTGCCCCGCTCCTTTCCATTGTTCCCTCTGTATTTTGGAAAGCAAGATCTGACCTTGGAAACAGTGTCTTCTGAAGTAAGGTTGCAAGGTCTTACCTTGCCCAGAGTGGGGAACTTTGGTGGCATTCCAGGGGTGGGCGGGGACATCGTGTGACGTCCCCAATGCAATGAAGTCACCCAGGAATAATGTCATCATGCTAGGGATGTTGCGTGGGGAACGCTCTGGTATTTGGGCGAACTCTATGGGTTTTTTGGCCTCAAAACTATAGACTTTGTCCAAATACCAGAGCATCCTCACGCAACATCCCTGGCACAATGGCGTCACTTCTGGGTGATGTCATTGCATCAGGGACATTGCACAGTGATGTCGCTGTTTGGGGGTGGGGCATTCCTCTGGCCAGCAGCAGGCTGAAGCCCCGAAAATCAGGGGTTTCCCCGGCACCACTGGGGGAATGGCAACCCGATGATGAAGTAAAACATGTCCTAATGGTTACTACAGTGAGTTTCTTAGAATCTTGGGGGGGGGGTTAGAAGAGAAGGAGAGGGTGGTCAAAGGCTGCATATGTCGTAATGCCACTTGGTTGGGGCGCCTAGTGGGGACAACTGTACTCCTTGTGTAATGGTGGTTTTCAAGAACATCCGGTCAGCCATTGCAGAAAACGGAATGCTGAACTAGATAGGTGCCAAGATCATAGTTTTCCTAAGGCACCAAAAACCTTGGGCCAGCCCTGGATGGGTCATACCATGTAAATTTGGTCTTGTGGGTCACCATACCAAAAATGTTGGGAATTGCTGCTGTATAGAACACTGTACTTGTGGAATGGTAAGCCAACAGAAATTACTTCCATAACGTCAACCTGCTTATGAAAGACTTGGATGCAACCTATACATGCCCTGTTTACTGTACAAGAGATTTGGCCACCATGTTCTGATCACAGCCAAGTTAGATGAAAGGCTATAAACAGCCTGGAAGTTTCAGTTAGTGCAAAATACAACAACCAAACTGCTACTAGGTTTAATGAAAGGGCCCATATTTTTACCTGTCTGTGCAGCTGCACCAGTTGTCTACATACTTTCTATACCAAGACAAAGTGCTAGTTGCTAAACAGCTTTGAACCAGGTACTGAAAAGCAATCTCTACTCCCAAACATAGCTTGTCAATGATGAAATCTTTCACCTGATGTCTTGTTCCATACTTTGATTATTTGGGTTAAGGGGATCAGTAACGAGCTAGAGTGGGGAACTTTATTTGGGTTAAGGGGATCAGTAACGAGAAAAATTGGCCTTTCGGGTTATGGTATCCTGATTTTGGACTGATCTCTTCTTGTCTGATATTTAACTTGTTAGATTTTTGGCTTTAGATGGAGACTTGTGTATTAATTCCAGCGTTTTGCTAAATTTGTACTTTATATGATAATTTAAAAATATTGTTATTAGCTGGTTTTGAGTGTGTATTTATGCTTTAATGTATGTGTAGTTTGTAGCCAACTTCAGAGCTTGCAGGCCAAACTAAATTTAATGATGGGAGTTCTGTTAATGAAGTAGGGTTTTCTTTCCTTTTAAAAAGCCAGCATGCATGGCCCCAGTTTGGATCAAGATCATAATATGGGGGAGGTAGGATTAAGGCTCCCCCCCAAATACCATTTTCCTGATGTGAAATGGTCCCACAGAGCTGCTATTTGCCCCATGGACCTCCTCAGGGCCATTTTACATCAGGAAAACAGCCTGGAGAGGAAGGCTTAACTCCCTCTCCTCTTTGTGTTGTGGTCCTAGTCCCAGTCAGGATCCCCAGACACCTGCTTTTTAAAAGCAAAAACTCTTCATTACTCATTCATAGAACTCCCAAGGCCCTGACACAGCTGAGAAGAGTATGGGATATAAAGTATTGTAATAGTAATATTAGAGGTATTTACTGGCAGTTAGTTTCGATGCTCTGGATCTTCTTAAAATCCAAAACAGAATAGGAAATGGGACCAGGACCCCTCATGAAGCACTTGTCACTTAAGTACTGTCTTTTGTAGTTAGGTTATCCCATAAGTAGGGATGGGCACGAACTGGGAAAATGTGGTTTGTGTCGGTTCATGGTTCGTGGCTGAACTCTGAAGTGAACCCTGAACTGGGAGGTTCGTTTACAAACTGAACAGGTTCTTGGTTCATGGCACCACAAACCCTGTTGAAAGGGACTGTGGCCCCTTTCAGTGGGGGTTGCAGAAAGTAAAAAAAAAACAAAAAACAGCTGAGCAAGGGGGAATGGCCTGCTTCCTGCCACTCAGCTGTTTCAGACTGTCTTGTGCAAATCCTTTAACATTTAAAGGGAGTGCGCAAGAAAGCCTGAAACACAGCTAAGCAGCTGGGACACTCTCTGCTGCTCGGCTGTTTTTCGGGCTGTCTTATGCAGTCCCTTTAAAGTGAAACAGCTGAGCGGGCAAAGCATGCAGCTCCCTGCCACTCAGCTGTTTTTGCAACTTTGGAAGGGGACAGAAAGCAGGGGTTTCTATCCGCAGGGATTTCTATTCTGCTCTATCCACAAACCACCACGGATGGCTTTATTTATTTGTTTGTTTGTTTGTTTGTTTGTTTATGGGATTTTTATTCCGCCCTCCCCAAATGGGCACAGGGCAGATCACAACAAATCGAGTCAAAGACCCGTTACAATAAAATCACATTAAAATTAAAAAAAAAAACAATAAAATGGTAGCAGCAATCTAAGTCCCTGGAAGTTCATGACGATAGGAGAGGAAAAGATTTGGGTTTCGATGTCTAGTTTTTATTCAGCTGGCCGACTTAGCCATGATCACTGCCTGTGGAGTGCTCTGTTCTGCAAAAATTATCATCAGGATTACCAGCACTGACCCATAAGCCCTGATTTAGAAGCCTAAGTGTTCTCCTTTGCTATCCTCTGAAGTAGCCTCTTCAGAACAACACAATGGCATACTAATGCTCTGCCTTGTTCTGAGAAATAATTCAAGGCTTCAGAACAGACAATCATGGGTCCCAGATAAATACAGACAACAATAGTTAGAAATCTGCCTGGCTGAAGTGCCTGGCAAATCCTTTGTTGTCATAGTCAGCTTGCAAAGAAAATGCTGTTGCTGCAATGAATTGTTTCCGGAACAAAGACATGGCATCAATCCTAAAGTAGTTTACACATAGATCTGTCTAAAGAAGACATTTAACTTCCTTCGAGTAATCTTTGATTTTTTATTTCAACCAGGCCTCTGTTTTTTTTCTACCAGGTGGATGAACTCTTTGAAGCCTACTGTATCCAAAGACGGCTCCGTGATGGTGCCAGCAAAATGAAGCAAGCCTTTGGGCTGTCCCCTGCCAGCAAGGCAGCTCGGGAGAGTTTGTCGGAAATCAGCAAAAGCTACAAAGAGTACACAGAGGTACGTACGCAACGATCTATTGAACATACTCCGTGCAAGGTTAACTTTGCCACTGGTCATTGTGGAAACACTGACTCAACTGCAGACGGAAAACAGATTATGGAATTTTTATAGGACAGAATTCCATACCCTCCAATTAATAATCACTGATAGTAATTAGTTAGTTAGTTTATTAATACGGTCAAGCGACCAGCCACTATAGAATACTGATAGTAATTAAAGAACTGCAGTGTGCACCTTTCGTGCAGTCCACTGTCTATAATGTGGCCATCCTCTTGTGAACACAGAGTTCCAGAGGAACATCAGGCTTCAAGCAAAGCCTGTTAAGCGACACTGAAGACACTACGTCTGATTTTTTTTCTCACACTAAACACGATTGGCTAGCCCAGGGATCCCCAACCTTTTTGAGACTCCAGGCACCTTTGGAAATCTGAACACAGCGTGGTGGGCACTGCCACAAAATGGCTGCTGCAGGAGTCAAAGCCAGTCACAAAATGGCTGCTGCAGCTGGCCTTCAATCACACTGTAAAGATCTTTGTGGTATGGTGGCAGTTGCTGCCAATGCAACATTTGTAAAAAACTGTGCAGCCAATCAGAGGTCTTGCTGGGCAAAAGCCCCACCTGGGCCCACCCACTTTCTAAAAATACTTGGCGGGCACAAGGAACCATGTTGGTGGGTACCATGGGGACTCCTGGATTAGCCTAACAATTTTTAGTTCAAACTATGAGTGTCACAGAAATTTCTGTGGCACTCACTGTGGCTGAAAAAGTGTAAGAGAACTCCCCTGTGGGTTCCACTGAAATTTTTTCAATCATCACTTCAGAGCAGTGAGGTGTAGGAATCTTTTCCTGATGGTTAAGTGGAATAAGGAGAGGAGAGTTGATCTGCTGGCCGGAAAGTTATTGTAGAGAGAAGCAGCTGGAGGAGTGAAAACCAAAAGCAGGAGTACTGAGAGGGCCGAAGCTTGCTCTGGTCTCAGCCCACAGCAGAAGTCTATGTGGCAAGCACATCAGTATATATGACATGGGCGATACTGAGTATTTCACAGTGCATAAATGCACTGAGAAGCCACCATTAATGATAGCTTTCCAGACGTCTTGCTTGAGATTTCAAAGGAAAGATTTTTAGGCTGAATCCCAAAGGCAGAAAAATGTTTGCTTGCTCCAGTATTTCACAACTCCATGAAGACATAAACCTAACTCAATGGACATTAGGAGAGACAGTTGGACTGCTGACTCCCTGGACACTGAATGTCAAGTTTCAGGGGTCCAATCCCATCACCCATTGCCTCATGACCTAGAGTTCCTTCCTTTTCCTCTCCTGTGGGCTATTGTTTGAGGTTGCCTCAGAAACAGGTATAATTCATCTTTTATTTAACAGTCTTTGGATATATTTATTTAACAGTCTTTGGATATATCACTCTTCTGTTTTCCCACACAGAACATGTGTACTATTGAAGGAGAGCTGGAGAATCTAATGGGGGAGTTCTGTATCAAGATGAAAGGTAATTGGCTTGTCTTTCCTCTTTCCTTTTCCTATACAAGCAAGCAGATCAAGAGCTTTGGAAAGACTTGAGAGCATGAACCAATTTAGATTTAGAAGCGTTTACAGTGCACTCTCCAAAGGTCTGCCCCTTTTGTTATTAAAGCTTCAGAACCTCTCTCTGCCTTGCTCCCAAAGTGAACAGAACCAGTTGTGTATCGTGGAATATCAAGCGTTTACAGTGCACTCTCCAAAGGTCCTTCCTGTTGCTTTGAAGGGATGTAGGGTAGTTAAATTATATCACACTTGCATCTCAAAGCAAAAGCACTGGCATAATAAGTGGATGCTGCAACTTTTGTCTATAATTTCATATGTCCTTAATGGATTAACCGTCTTTATTTATTTATTTATTTATTTAATTTCAACATCTTTAGACCACTTTTATCACAAAGGGATCCAAAGCAGCTTATAAACAGAGGGGGGTAGAGCTTCTGAATTAGAAACAAACAAATCTGGGCAGGTCCAGATTCGGAAAGCTATTTTCACAGTTGCTAGGCTGTGAGCTCAGGGCTAAGAGCCAGGAACCCTTCAGTTCTTGGCTTTCATCTCACACCTGAGGATTCATGCTTCTGGCCCCATCCAGGTGAAACGCCTGGAGAAAGAATAGAGAAAAAGTCAGCCTGGATGCTAACCTGCTATAGCAAGCCAATTGAGGGTCTTCCTCAGTTTACTCCTCTGTCATAGCCTGGGATTTTGAATGCTGAATTATTTCCCAGACTTTATCAAAGTTAAACATAAGAGACAGCTGTCTTTAAAAATGTATCTAGAAGTCAATCGACACATAATATATTTTCCAACTTAGAGCTTTCCTGTTTTAGTCAGTGTTGATCCGACCCATCAAATTAATATGTCTGAGTGGAACAAAGACACCTGTTTCATAAAGAATCTTGTACTTTTTGAGAACAATGGTGAATCAGTAATGAATCACTGAGAACTGCTTTCCACATGTGCTTCACACTCACACACAACACACACACACACACATGCCATATCAGTGTGATGTAGAACTCCTTCGAGGTATTAAGTTCTTTGTAAACCACATGAACATGTGTTTATAAATAGCAATGTCATCATAGTTTACATCAGTGGAGGTGGGTAGCACTGGCATCTTAATCCTCCATTAAGGTAGCCAGATTCCTAGAGGTATGTCATTCTGTTTCAGGCTTTTTTGAGCCCAGCATCTTTGAATTTGAATAAATCTGGCTACTGCAAACAGAAAGCGACTGCTCCTCCCTTCGCAGACATGCATTTCCATTTTGCTGCCGGCAAACTAAAATATCCAAGCCTCGCAGTGCTCGCAGTGTGAATTAGTTTTAAGACGCGTTGCTCTTCAGAGGACACAGCATAGTAACTGCACTCAGGGCTCATAGTACCCGCAGAAGACAGAGATCATCTTGTTCTTTGGCAGCAGTGCTGGGACATGGCCTCCTCCTGCCCCAACCCAAACTGAAGTTGTAAGTAGCCATTGTTGCAGTTTCAGCCCTGGGGTGAAGCTTCTGCACATGCAGAAGTTCTGCACAAGAAGTGTCCCTGAATCTTATCCTGAGGCCTGAAAAGTTAGTCTTCCCCTGTGTTAGCACAATTTCCTAAGATTTCCCTTTAATTGGGTTAAACCTAGTGCAGCCTCAGGAACTGTGGTGGCTCAAGTGGTTAAGACGCTGAACTGCAGGCTGGAAGGTTGGTAGTGGTGCTGCGTGATGGAGTGAGCCCCCACCTCTGGCCTCAGCTCCTGCCAACCTAGCAGTTCGAAAGCAAGAAATTGCAAGTAGCCCCATCGCTGGCTGCCAGATAGGATCCGGCAACCCTACCCTTCCCAGGGTAGGGTAGGATAGCCCAGACTAGCCCTGATCTCGTCACATCTTGGAAGCTAAGCAGGGTCAGCCTGGTTAATATTTCAATGGAAGACCACCAAGGAATCCAGGGTCGCTATGCAGAGGAAGGCAATGGCAAACCACCTCCATTGGTCCCTTGCCTTGAAAACCCTACCGAGTCACCATAAGTCGGCTGTGACCTGATGGCACTTTACACACACACACACACACACACACGCAGGAACTGATGTAGGGTTCTTGTGCTGTCCAGTAATTTGAGAAGCTGAAGCTGTAATCATAGCAGCTTATGGTAAGAAGTTTCAAAGTTATGAAACTCTAGCCTTACAATTATACTTTCATTGGGCTAAAATACCCCCTGCAGCCGCTCTGCACTAGGATGGAGAAAGGACAATTTTGGTCTGTGGGGATGTATTCAGAAGTCCCCATTTTCACTGGCTCACATTTTTTTTCACTCCTGCTTCTATTTGCTTGGAGGTATATATATATTTACAGTAGCTGTCAGCTGTGTGGGCAGCAGAGAACAAGTTGGCATACTGAGGCATCAAAAGAGAGATGGAGCCAGCAGCAGAGTGCTAGTAAATGTAAATTATTTATAAATAATAAATAAATAAGGACGTGGGAGGTAATATGAGCCCTGCAGAGGCCTGCTTTGTTCTTCTACCTTAGGAGCAGAGTGGGAGGACGGCAGAATTGGAGATTTACTTTCATAGGCAAGGCAAGAGTTCCTCTTGGCAACAGGAATAGAGCTACTGGCCACAGCTGTGTCAAAATATATTAGGCCAACCCTTAGTATACTGGTGGCTTTAACAAATATTATATGACAGTGGAAAGGAAATCAGTTCCTGTGAATTTAGAATACCAGCACTTGGGAGATCTGAGCTCTGTCTCTGGAAGTGACACAGAATTCCTGTGACAAATCTCTCTTGATTGAAACAGAATATCTGATGCTCAGGACCCCTGTGTGAGTACAAGGTTGTTCTGTGCAGTACTGGTTGAAATTGTGTTACTGCAGTCCATTGACACTGTCGTTAGTTAAACTCTAAATATTGGGGCTGTGTTTGCAGTCATCACTGAAACCCAGTTTGCCCCTGCAGTAATTTCCACCTTACATGTTAGCACTATATCATTTTTGCTCTCAGTATGAGAGTTACCTTAAAGAGCAATCTGAAGCCGGTCTAATCCGAATACCACTTGAGTCTGTTCAGTGGGGCTTACTCCCATATGTATTGTGTACTGTGAAAAAACATTCTCTGCTGCCTTCTTCGAAAGCTTATGAGACAAGGGAGAAACCTCTGTCCCCTCTAGCTAGCGTTCATTTTTAAGCTCAGATGAATTGCCGTTGAAATCCCTGCACAACTGTGAAGTTCACTATGTAGCTTTGAGCAAGTCCCTGCTTCTCAGACGCACAGACCTCAAAAGATTGTTGAGAGGCTGAAACGCTGCTCTGAGGTCCTTGGGGACGTGGCGGGATGCAGGGTAGAAAAAGAAAAGAATAATTATGCATCAGTTTAAAACATGGAGTGGCTGGTTGTTGCATGCTAATAGATGAAATTGTGAAGTTCCTAGTTGTAGGAATAAATGATATTTTTTTTAATTTAAAAAAAATGATGCCACCTCTCCACAGGCCTGTGGCATCTCACAAAATAAAACAATGCAATAAAATCATAAAAACAACCAACATGAATCTAAAAACAGCATTAAGCGTGATAGCCACAAAACAGCCATTAGATGCAGGCCAGAAGAAAAAGATTTTTTTAAAAAATGGAACAGTCTAACTAAAGCCTGGGTAAAAAGAAACATTTCGGTCTGGTGCCTAAAGAACAGTAAAAAAGGCACCAGGCAAACCTCAGGGAGAAGGGCGTTCCAAAGGTAAGGTGCGACTGGTGGCTGTGGTTGCCATCTGCCTCACCTCTGCAGGCGCAGGTACAGGAAGTATTTCTTGGGGAAAGGATCTTAACTAGGAGAGTGGACAATATATAAGGAGACAGTTCTTCAAGTTGTCACCAGTATATGCTTTCAGCCCTGTCCAATTAATTCTTTCTTTCTTCAGACTAATTTCATGGACCCTTCAAAGGTGCTTAGTGAGATTAGAGTAATTATTACGTGGACTGTGAAGGTGAATACATTCTCCGAACTCCTTTATGGAAATCTTTCGTTAAAGGTGGTTGTGAGGGACTGCTGCCCCCTACAGGTAGAAAATAGCCATGCTGTGCAGAAGCACATCCCCCAATTCACACATTTGGCTTTCCTCGCTGCACCTATATAACTGAGATGCTGTCATCTCTACAGACTTTACCATGTTGATTCAGTAATCACAATATAGTACTTGGGGGCAGTGTTCCCTCTAAGCTGAGTTAGTGTGAGCTAGCTCACAGTGTTTTAGCCTCCAGCTCACCTATTATTGTCTACGCTCAGGAATGATGGCTCCAGAGCAAACTAATTTATGGGGTAGCCAAATTACTCGCTCACAACTTTGATGCCAGCAGCTCACAAAGTAGAATTTTTGCTCACGAGACTCCACAGCTTAAAGGGAACATTGCTTGGGGGGTGAAAAGCTACGTATGGTATTGCTGAGATTGTTCTAGCAATGCAAACTGATTGTAACTCACCAGTATGTTAGGGTTGCCAGCTCTGGGTTAGGAGATTTGGGGGGTGAAACCAGGAGAAGGTGGCCTTTAGGGAGGGTGGCATTTAGGGAGTGACCTCAGCAGAGTAGAATGTCATAGAGGCCAGACTTCCAAAGCAGACTTTTTCTCCAGGGGAACTGATCTCTGTCATCTGGAGGATAGTAGTAATTCCAGGAGATTTCCAGGCCCTGCCTGGAGGTTGGCAACCCTAATCCATGCTGTCACTATGATAGTGCAGCTTAAACCATAATCATGTGAAGATATTTTGTGAGAGGCTATATCTTGTAGTTCGGGACCATGTTCTGTGACCAAAAGTATTTGCTTAGATCAGGGGTCCTCAAACTTTTTAAACAGGGGGCCAGTTCACTGTCCCTCAGACCATTGGCGGGCTGGACTATAGTTTTTTAAAAAAACTATGAATGAACTATGCTGCCAAAGAGAAGCAAGTGCTGGAAACCAAGGCTATGTCACAAGGCTGTATTTTGAAAGAATTTCTTAGGTTCTGCATAAGTACAAACAGCCGGCCAAAGTTCGGGACGGGACCCCACACACAATGGGCACTTTTCGCTCTTACCTGCGGGCGACGTCCAGCGGGCTCTTTTGTGCCTCCTAGTCCCACATTGTCACCCGAAGAGGCGTTTGCAGCCCGGAACAATGAAATTAAATGTTTGGCAGGCGAGGGAAGTGCAGGCCAAAGCCTCGGGACTATGTTGCCCCCCCTCAGCAAGCCCGCCCAGCCTTCCTCTGTCCCTCCTTTGCGCGCGTGCAGCAGAAATCGCACATGCTGGGGCCGTTCCCTCCTCCACCACCACGCGACTCGGCTGGAGAGGAGGAGAATGAACAGTCCCTGACCCAGCCGGAAGTAGCTCTCGGTTGGGCCAGGGGTGGGGGCGGAACTAGCCAACCATCCCACCCCCCCTTCTCCTCCACAAAGCCGCGGCGCGGAACTGAGAAGAGGACAGGCAGCTAAGCAGGTCTAGAGCAGGAAGCGGCAGCAAAAAACCCCGGCGGGCCGGATAAATGTTCTCAATTGGCAGCATGTGGCCCGCGGGCCGTAGTTTGAGGACCCCTGGCTTAGATGAAGATAAAATTATTCTCTTGATAAGAATCTATTAGTGTACACAGACTTTGGGGATAGGGGTTCCCAGTGTATATAGAGACACTGATGTTGCAGATGGAACTCTCACTCATTTTCATTTTAATCTGGACTTTCTCTGTGCTTTTCTTATTATGCCTCATTAACATCTAAAACGTATGTACTCCAGGCTAGAGCCACAGGTATGCTCTGACACCCATGAATGAGAATTCCACTTCAGTGTGGTAAAGGGTGCTGCAGAAAGGAATAGAGCGTTTCCCCTCACAAGTAGAACTGTGACTCATTGGAACAATGAAGCCCCTAGGAAAAAAGAAAGGCAGTTTTCATAAACTGGTTGGAGTCAGGATTTTGTCTTGGATAGCTGCAGTGAGAGGCCTAGGGTTCTGGTAAGAAGTCAAATCCTGCCATTTAGAATCCAAAGGAATTTAATCCCTTGACTATCCTGTCCCAATATTCTTCTCATGCATCTCATCAACTCTAGGTACAGAACATAAATCAAGTATCCACCCTTGACATTTTCTGAGACAAAGCAGATGAAAGAACTGGTTGGGACATCCTGCATCTTACCCAACGATGAGAAAAAGATGCAGGGTGGTATCCAAGTCATTCTCCCAGTAGCATAAGTTCTTTGGCAATGTTGTGTAATGTTGGCGATCAGGTTCTAGGAATACAGTCACTAAAACAAGGGGGAAAAGGTATAATCAATTCTTCTGAAGTGGATCTTATATGTTTTTGGTGTCTAGGCTTAGCTGGCTTTGCTCGACTTTGTCCTGGAGACCAGTATGAGGTGAGTAACCTTGTTTTTAAAAAGTCATTGTCCATCAAGTTCAAAGGCTTACACATGGCATTTCTTCTTGTACTCATCTCCTGTACAGCAAGAAAGATTCCCACTATTCTTTATTTATGGATGAATGCACTCAAAACCTTTCCCACATAAAGACTGGTCCCAGGGAGTTGATTGATGACTAGCAAGATAACAACAGATGTTTCTTTAACTTTGTTTTGGAAGAGTGTCAGCCTGTCTCAATATTTTGTTCTTGGCATACATTTTCTTCTCCTTGTGGTTCCGCTATCCAACTAGGACAGGCTGACTAGAGCAGATCATTTAGAACAGGGCAAGTCAAGCCTTTTGCTTTCAAAGCCAGAGATGTAACTTCATCAACAACTAGAATGGCTGAAATCCAATATATAATTATTGTCCTTGGCTCAATTACAATGTGCATCTATGTTCATGTAGTGGTGTTGCTTAGAAACATATGATTTATGCTAAAATCCCAGCTTTACACACTTGCCCCACATCCCTAAACAAAAAAGTAAAGTCTCCTAAAAGTAGACATTCCCCTCATTGCCCACAGAACTCCAAAATGAATACATGGAATTCCAGTGTTAGATGAAACCAGAGTCAGCTTTATTAATGGAGGATCTGCAGCAACAAGGCCCAACTAATAACTTTAATCCCCATTCTCAGTAGCCGAGATTTAAATCTCCTGTGGTTTTGAGCACTGAGCAAATTTGCCCTTGGCACAAAACAAAGCCTTCCAATCTATGTGCTGAGAGGTACAAAGCAGCATGCCCTTCATGCAGGTTGGGTGGCCTTAAAGTTCACTGATGTTCCCCTGCTCCAAAAGACTCCCTTCACCAATCCCCTGGGGCTGGTCGGCCTTAAGGGATTGTTTTAGACAAACTACTGTTCACTTGACAGGTGCCTCAGGGTGCTTACTGCTAAACCCTGTGTCTTCTCATCAGTGTTAGAGCCTTAGTAGCCAAATTAATGACCAGGTGATCTAAACCCTCCCCCTAAGACATGCAACTGGATAATCTCACACTGCCTTATATCAAATGGGAGGCTTTCTTTCTTTCTTTCTTTCTTTCTTGTTTTGTGTCACAAAGGTGATATCCTGCAGATCAGACCTGGGGCTGCTTTTTACATTATATTTAGTTTAGTTATATTTAGTGTAGTGTAATGGACTCTAATCTGGGAGAACTGGGTTTGATTCCCGACTCCTCCACTTGCACCTGCTGGATGACCTTGGGCAAGCCATAGTTCTGGCACAGCTGTTCTTGAAAAAGGGCAGTTTCTGTCAGAGCTCTCTCAGCCCCACCTACCTCATAGGGTGTCTGTTGTGGGGAGGGGAAGGGAAAGAAGTTTGTAAGCCACCCTGAGACTCCTTTGGGTAGTGAAGGACGGAGTATAAATCCAATCTCCTCCTCCTCCTCCTCTTCTTCTTCTTCTTCAATTGCCTTACCTGATTGGCTGGCCTTCCAAAGCCAGCCTCGCACACCAGCCATTACAGGATTCCTGCTCCCTTCCTTTGAAGGGATATGCATGAGAATGCCATGAGGCATAGGTATGAGCAGGGAGCATGATTCCAGTATTTAGGTACTATGTGGTGCGAAGTTATTCCACTAGTTCTGCAAAAGATTACAAATAATAAGGCTTACAAGAAGGCAGCCAGGAAAACACAGGGCACCTTATCAGCATTTGTAGTATCTCATGTATATATAGGGTACCAATTGTCATCTGTTAGATTGCTTATTATTCTTTCTGTAGAGAATGAGTGTATGCGGGGGGGGGGACAGGACAAATATGTGGGCTATGAGAACACAGGGTTTTTTCTTGTTTGCATTGTTTTATGGTTTTGTAAACTTTATCCTTTTTAGCATAGTTTATTCTATGTCTTATGATGTCCAATCAAATTGCTTTTTATATTTTGTAATCTGTCTTGAGTTTCAGCAAGAAAGGTGGGCTATAAATGAAGTACATAAATAAATGCGAGACAACTTCTTTCCCTCCCCCCACAGATTTTCATGCGGTATGGCCGACAGAGGTGGAAGCTGAAAGGCAAAATCGAAGTCAACGGCAAGCAAAGCTGGGATGGAGAAGAAATGGTCTTCCTACCCCTTATTGTTGGGCTGATCTCCATTAAGGTAGCAATACAAAAGTTTTTCTAACCGCACAGTTCTAAAACGTGTCCATATAGTCAGTCAATGGGTGATAGGCAATGCTGCCCAGATTTCCCAAAATAAATATATGAACAGTTCTTATTTTTAGGTGTGCCTCTAGGTTTCTGTGACAGACAGAAGGCTGTCCCACCCCTGAAGGGGGAAACAGCCACTCACGTGAGCCTGTGGGAGTGCTGTTCCAGCATCCAATTACCTTTGAGAAAGGGGATGGAATGTTGGGAGAAGTGGGGAGTTGAGCCCATTTCTGCCTCAGGGAGAGAGCAGTGAGAGCTCAGGTCTGGCTCAGGAAAAGAGCAGACAGAGTGAAGGGCAGCTCTGCTTGGTAGTGTGGCAGAGTGGTTTCAACCTACTTCTGAGAGTAGGCCTGTCTCTGGCAATGAGCAGACCTTGTGCCATTTAGTCTGATTCTTGGGAAAGAGCAGGCTGGTGTGGGTGGAATCCTGTATGTGTGTTAGGATCCAGCTTAGTGGCAAATCGGTAAAAGCCTGTTTATGCTTAAAAGTCTTAAAGAAAATGTAAACTGCTCTCTAAATTAATGTGCCTCAGTTAGGTTTCTCCTTTGTCTGTCTGGAGTCCTGTGCTGCTGATCTGTTCCTGGGATCTGTTCCAGTCTGTAAATAAACAAATCTTCTTTGTGGACCAGACTGTAAATAAACAAATCTTCTTTGTGGTTAATATACAGTCCCTGCCTCAGTAACCTCCATGTTCTGCTCGTAAACCACAAAACTTACCCCACAGGAGCAAACCCAAAGCATATACACTCACTACCTTTAGAACACCTGGTAACTGAGGGGAAAGTTTATAGTTTAAATAAACCTGGTTCCCCTCAAATCACAGGAGGCTGTGTGGGTCCCATCAGTTAATAGAAATGGCCTGTCTCAGTTTCCTGCAGTGTTTTGTTTTTTTAAATGTATTGCTTAGAGGTTAGCCAAACAAATCCAGTGAATGCTTTCCAGGAGTATGCCTAGCTTCCTGTAGCATCCAAAGGCAACTTGAATGTATGAATGAGAGATGTTCACAGATGAAACATCACAACAGAACTTTTGCATAATCTCAGACTGTTTTTTCAGTTGAGCAAGTCAACACAAAGTCCTGATCAGCTTTTGAGTAAATAAAATTATGAAAGTTCAGATGATCATTCAGCATTCATATGAAGCCAGTCCCTGGGGTATAAGGCAATTTCAGTGAGATGTCCAACTTTACGAACATCTCAAATGCAGCACAACCTCACTTTCATCCTCACTGCTTGACTTATTATGGCGAGAATCCAGAGAACCTCATGTGGAAAGCTAGATCATACCCACATTCTCATTTGATGGTCCAGTTTTTGCTTCTAGTTGCAATGTCAACACTGTGTTGGATGCTGTAGTGGAGGAATGTGCACAGTACAGTGACAGTAGTGGGAAGAGAAGCCCAGTAAGACCTGTTGCACATGTAGAATGACTCCGTACTTTTTAAGATCCAAACTTGTATTTCTAAAGAGATGTTAAACAGTGGTGTTAGTGATTTAAAATTAATACCAAGTGAATTATTCTTAGTTGGAGGTGGTGATTTAGACTTGTTAGATTTACAGAAAATGCCAACTATGAAGCAAAACAGGCTGGCTAATCATAGAATTTCTGAGTTACAAGACTATTGCTGAGAGACTGTCTTATGGTTTCTGCTGAAGTTCAAATATGCAATTTATTTCTTCCACATCTTTATAATGCATAAATTTCCTTGCCCTGGTGCACTCAGAATGATAATGGTCTGTTTAATTTGCAAGTTCATCAGTGAATAAGAAACCAGAATGTCTGGCAAGCTGATGGTGAATCTGCAGTGCCTTGTCTAGTTTTGTGCCAAGTCTTAAGCTATTTTATAGCCCAAATGCTACATGAGAACACAACGGCACAGTTGATGTGCAAACACATAAAACTTGTCATTATATATGCCTTTTCAATTTATTGAAGAGGGGAGGAGAAGGAGATCAAACTTTCCTTCTATCTGAGAGAAGGAGGAAAGCAAGATTACCCTGCGGGCTGAAAAATAGGTACATACCATTTTTAAAAAGACATACTGAAATCAACCGTGCTTCTGTCCCAAAGGGAGCAATGTCCCAATCCAAACTGGCTTCTTCCCAGTCAACATAATAGACAAGACAATTTTATTTATTTTCGTCTTGTATACTCCCTTTATTCCTTTAGCACCGACACTCAAGATGGATTACAGAATTTTAGAAAACAATGCATTAAAACAATATAATACATACAATAAACAATGCAATAGAACCGCCTAAAATTTCTGCACACTTTCTAAAGATGTCATCATGAATAATTCTGTTTCGCACATTTTGTGGAATGGTAGAAATGGGGGAAGCATTGCCTTTCCAGCATTTTTTCTTACATTTATACATGAGATTCAAGTGCAAGTGCTGATTTATGCTTCCACTTCAAAAAGGTGTGATGTTGCCATGTAGCAAGAACGACTACCTCTGAGCCAACTTCTGAACCATACCTTTAGGATATAATTATTCCATTCCTAATTATTAACACTCATTCTTTTTTTTTTTTTTACAGGTCACAGAAGTTAAAGGCCTCGCTACTCACCTTCTGGTGGGAAGCGTTACCTGTGAAACAAAAGGTTTGTTTGCTGCTCAGCCTCAGGTTGTCGCTGTGGACATTAATGACCTTGGTACAATAAAGCTGAACCTGGAAATAACTTGGCAGTAAGTAAAGTAATTCTTTTGGTGTGTCATTGTCATTTCAAATCAAAGAAAGCTTGTTGTGTTCGCCTGTTACAATAAAAAAACCAAAAAGAAGTCTTTGGCACCTTAAAGACTACTGGATTTATTATGGCATAAGCTTTTGTGGACTAGAGGCAACTTCATGAGGTGAACATCTCAGTAGACGGCAGCTTAAGATGTTCACCTCATGGAGTTGCCTCTAGTCCACAAAAGCTTATGCCATCGTAAATCCAGTAGTCTTAAAGGTGGCAAAGTATCATGTATTGTCTGTTCTGACTAAGGTCTCAGGAAAAGGTCTTTCACATCATCTCCTGCCTCATCCTTTTAACTGGTGGTGCTAGGGACCAAACCTAAGTCCTTCTGCATGTAAAGCAGATGCTCTGCCACTGAGCTGCTGCCCCTCTCCTAAAGTGCACAAAATATTGTCTTCAGTTGGACACAGAGGGGAAAAAATGGTTAACAATGGAGTCAGAAGGCAGCGTAGTACAAGAGGTCTAGACTTTGCCATATCTGTGCAGAGCTCAAATGTTTGTATTAAACTGGAAGGTTTAATAAGATCCTCTTCCATTGAACTCTGTCATACAATGTACACGACAGAGAGACTGTCCTTTTCATATACCTAAAATGGTCTTGATATAAAATAAAAGATTGGATTGCAAACTTCTCGAACAGTAAATGCCAGGCTATTTGCAGGAACTCATGAGTGTCAGAAGATGGCTTCCAATACTGCTGTGCAATGATCTCATCCAAAACAAGATGTTTTCCATTTGAGACTCAGTGGCGGATTCCTTAAATGGATGAATAACCGATATAATGGAACTCCCCCTCCCCAGCTCAGAAGAAAAGCCCTAGATTTGGGCAAGAATAGAGAAGAGCTCTTACTGCTACCATCTTCACTAGCTCTCTCAGTTTATTCCTAAGGCTGGTCATGCTTTAAAATAAACACTTTTTGTGTTTGATAGCTAGAGATGATCAACTCAAATAATTTAACTACAGTCATATGCCAGAGATGCACGATTCAGTCATGTGGGCATTCATGGCTCTTTGCTGGAGCTCAGTGGGCTGTTCTGTGATGTAATATGGATCCATTATGGTCCATAACTGTTGGGTCGGGGGTGTGTGTGTAGAGCTGTGAGCCAGTGTTCATTTAGAAAATGTATATGCCATCACTTCAGACACCTGAATGGGACAATGTTCTGACCACACACACACACACAAATTTCCCTGTTGCATCCCAATCACAAGCCTGTGGGATGCAGTGGAGAAATTTTCCACTGGGGAAATTAGAACACTGTGTTTGAATTCAAAGAGCAACTGATGGTTGGCTTTCTGACCCACACCTCTGTAACTTTTTTCTGTGCCCCTACTCTGGGATGTGGTAAGAAATTTCCATTCCCATTTTCACACTCCTCCTTTATGTTCCACATGGCTGTTGTGGTGATCAAGCTGCACACACTGAGCAGTTCTCATATTATGAACAAGAAGAGAAGAAGAGATTGGATTTATACCCCGCCCTTCACTACCCAAAGGAGTCTCAGAGCGGCTTACAAACTCCTTTCCCTTCCCCTCCCCACAACAGACACCCTGTGAGGTAGGTGGGGCTGAGAGAGCTCTGACAGAAACTGCTCTTTTTCAAGAAGAGCTGTGCCAGAACTATGGCTTACCCAAGGTCATCCAGCAGGTGCAAGTGGAGGAGTCGGGAATCAAACCCGGTTCTCCCAGATTAGAGTCCGCACACTTAACCACTACACCAAACTGGCTGGAATTTGTTCATGACAGGCACAACCCTAGTTAGTTGTTGGGCTCTCATTCTTGGACTTTCTCCCCCCTTCCCTGCTGTAGTGCACCAAGATGGAACGGACTCCCTTTTGGTGATGTCCCAGCATGGGCACCTTAACTATTTGAAGTCAGGGTGCAAAGATACATTAATGTGAATGAGCAAGATTCAAGCAGTAGCACCTTAAAAACCACCAAGACTTCCAGTGTATAAGTTTTTGGGAGTCAAAAATCCCTTTTATTTATTTATTTATTTATTTATTTATTTAAAAACACAGAGGGGGGCTTAAAATTCAGCAACTAAATAAGATATTTAAAAAAAAAAGAAAGAAAGAAAAAAGAGATACACAGAGACAAAACAAAAATGTTGTAACAACAGTGTTGTTGGATCTACACATAAGTTTCCAAGTATCTAAAAATAAGCCCATTTACAATTGCCATCTATATGCCATTCTAAACATCTAAACAGTCCTGGGAATGTGTTGCTAGAGGTTATAAAACCTCAGTAGGAAGAGGATTCCCCTCTGCTCTAATAACATAAAGTGAAAAGAAAACAAATGGTCCTTGTAAAGGTACTTCTGTTTAATGAGAAGCTTGTGCTTTTGCAGCCCATTTGATGTTGAGGACGTGACCCCATCTACAAGCAACACAAACAGAGCATCTGCTCTCCAGAGAAGGATGTCCATGTATAGTCAAGGTACTCCAGAAACTCCAACCTTCAAGGACCACGCCTTCTTTGTAAGTTGAATGTGGCCATTTCATATACATGTAGAAAAACCTTCATTATCTTAGCAAATATAGTTAATGGTTTTGGGGGGGGGGTTTGCACCATTTTTAAAAATATGGTGGTTGAATTTTGATGTCCTTCCAATCTTTTGGGGATAACAAACATGTTCATAACATTGCTTACTAATAATTTCTGTTAAAAGTCCCTTAACAACACATATGTCAGTAACTCACTCCTGCTTTCCTTATTGCCTGCATTTCAGTAGTAACTTTGTAAATTTTACCATAGGATTGCAAAAATCTTGAGGCCATTTTGAGCTATGTATTGTACAGTTGCACAGGAAAAGTAATCTAGGGGGCACATTCATAAGCAGGTCTACTAAGAATCCTACTCAGGGTCTGTTTGAAGGGGCTACTCCCAGGCAAGTATTCTTAAGGTATTATACCACTAGTTAACTAATTGCCCCCTTTTTGCCTTAACTGTTGAAGAAATGGCTACATCCTCCACAAGACAGGTTCCAGTTTTCCATTGTAGATGCTCTGCAGGACACTTTCTTTGACAAGCTGCGTCGCAGTCGCTCCTTTAGTGACCTGCCGTCTCTCAGGCTGAGGCCTAGAGCTGGGCTAGAACGATATGTGAGTCTGGATCGTGGGAGCTCTCTTTGCACTGAATTACCTTTTTTCCATGGCTCAAGCATTCCTCTGTTTCTTGCATGCCACAGACCTCAGTAGAGATATCTAGTTTGCTGACTGAGTGTTGAGGCAATTCGTTGTGTTACTGATATAGGTCCAGTTGGGCATTACTGATTATTATAACGAAGTTCTCGACATTATTTATTTATTTATTTATTTTACGATTTATACCCCGTCCTACCCCATTGGAGCAGGCTCAAGGTAGTTTGGAAACACAGGCAAAATACTAAGCTCTTTATCAGTACTAAGTTCTGTTGGCTGAATATTGTTTTCAAGATATATACTTCCAGAATTTTTTTAAAAAACCCAAACTTAAAATAAAAACCAATTTGGTTCATAGGCAGTATAAAAATAAAATAAATCGGGTGTAATCTTGTTAAATTTCACACTTTAGTCTTCTTGATATTAATGGCATATAAAGCTGGTTAATTTTCTCTCGCATTATCATGTTTGAAACTTTAATAGTGTGCTCAGCACCTTTCACACTACATTTGGATTTTGTTGTTCAGTCGCACAGTCGAGTCCGACTCTTTGCGACCCCGTGGACCAGATCATGCCAGGCCTTCCTTTGGATACAGGGAACTAAATATGCTTTTGATCCTAAGTATTTGCCCTGGAGTGTTTGCTGACATATGGCAGTACCCATGAGTACATGACAAAATGTTCTGTTGACATACACTCTTTTCCACACACATTTTCTAGTTGATGAAATTTGGTCAGCAAAGTACAAGCTCTTTCTGCCTTCTCTTTTGTGCATGGTGTTGAGTGGTGTTGTAGTACCTTTTTTTGCCCAAGACTTGTTTTTCCTATACTAATGCTGGTTCCATTCTGCTATTTCCTTTATATTATTGTATGTCTTTTAAAAGCACTGTAATAAAAGGCAAATTTCTTTTGCGACTCCAGAGAGACCTGTCTCTAATTTCCTGTCAGTAGCAGCTTAAAATTAATTATGTTGAGAATTGGCTTTAACATTTTGTGGAAAGCTACTTTGCTTTTTATCTTTAACAGTCTTTTGTTTTATTTGCAGTCAAATTTACATGATGATGTCTTTGAAAATGGAACAACAGAAGTTGAGCAACGGTCAATGTCTTTCAGCTTCAATGATATTTCCAATGGAGATTGCACTCAGTCGTCCAGTTCTCTTGGTTCCTCTTCTGCCACGGATAATTTTAATCCTGAAATTACTGTCACACCTCCAGAACATAATGGGCAGAAGTCATCAAAAACTCATGCCATGGACAGTATCAGTACCAGCTCATCAGTGGACTCTGCACCCGAATATAAGGACTTAAAGTCACAAGAACCTATGCCCGTTAGTGAGGGAGAAAAGATTTCTAATATAGATTCTGAAGTTTGCCAAACATCTCCAGTTTCCAGAAGCAACAATCTTTTCTTAGATAATAGTGCCCCAGTATCTCTTTTGCAGGACACAGATGAATTATCAGAGCTCAAACCTGTCGAACTGGATACTTTTGAAGGCAATATCACTAAGCAGCTTGTAAAAAGACTCACTTCAGGAGAGGGTCCTGCAACACCTGAAAAGCTGCATTGTGAAGGATCAATAAGTGGAGAATCTGAAGGTTATAAATCCTGTGTAGATGGAAGCCTAGAAGAAGCATTTCAGGGGCTGCTTCTAGCACTTGAACCCCATAAAGAACAATTTAAAGAATTTCAGGATTTGGACCAAGAAGTAACACACCTAGATGAAATTCTAAAAGTAAGTTTAGCTTCAGATTTTAAAAAACCCACCTGATGTTTAATCTCATGCACTTTAAACAATGGAGTACAAGATAGACCTTCTTATCCAAACCAAAATTATCTAAAGTTACTTACAAGAGGGGGGAAACATGTGCACCGTACACCAGCACTGGGTGAATACAGTTTACACCAGAGATCTCCATGTTTTTTCAGATGGTGGTCACCTTTGGAATTCTGACACAGCATGGTGGGCACAGCTGCAAACTTGCTACCACAAAATGGCTGCCACAGAAGGTGGACCCAGCCACAAAACAGCTCCATGGCTTACCTTCTGTCACACAATTAAGGTCCGTGTGCTGTAGTGGTAGCTACTCCCATAGCAGTGTTTTTAAAGACTGCGCAGCCAACCAAATCTCCAAAACCCAATTAGAAGCCTTGCTAGGCAACAGCTCCACCAGGCCCCACCCACTTTCTAAAAGCATTTGGTGGGTGCCTTTAGTTCCTGGAGTGTATGTAGAGTTAGATCAGTAGAAAGTTCCTTCAATGACTCCACAGGGTAACATGGTCAAGTTAATCACGTACAGCAGCATGCTATGCCATGGGCAGTTTCTCAGTGGCACCACAGATAAAATTAGGCCTGCAAACACCTCATATGAAGCAATTCGAACTTGCTTTTGCATGATAACCATTCATATGTGATCACAGTACTCTAACTCAACTGACTTGATTATACACCAATAAGAGACATGCATACAGAACCATTTCCTCCACTAAAATGAACACACAAACCTGCTTATGCTGGATCTTTGTATGCACATTAGGATGCACAGGGAACTCTGAATCAATGGATGTGGAGCATAAGGTGGTAATTATTCCAGGCAAGTTACTCTGGAGTTCAAAATGTGATCTTGTGTATTTCTTTAGTCAACTACATTGTAGGGGCAAGTATTGATAGACTCATGGTTCCTGAATGTTCAGGTATCTCTGCTAGTTTTTAAAAAGAAAATAGTCTTTTTTTTTTTTTTAAACTTGGCAAATATATCTTTGATCATTACATGCTTATCACTAACAAACTCAGTAGCCTCTGGGCTTCATTCCTTTGAGAACTGACACAGGACAGCTTTTTAATCCACAAGCTCTCTAAATTTGACAGTTAATTCGTTGACACTGACAGAGCCATCCTAAGCAGAGTTATACCTTTCTAACTTGATTGAAGTCAATGAACTTAGCATAGGGTTGCCAGGTTTCACCTTTCCCATGATGGGGGGTGGGCTCCTGGCTCCTCATCACTGGCCGGTGGGAGATTGCCCCCCCAAAAAAAATGGGGAATCCCCTGCCCCGACTGGGGGGATGGCAACCCTAAAATAGCAGGGATAAGTGTTCGGATAGTGTTGTAAGGCACCTGCAGGCTGTATAGTAACTCATCAGAGACTTTACCTGGAAATTACTGTCATACCAAGAATGAATGATCATTGGATGTTTCAGTAACTCTGCAGTGTACAGTTAAATGTGTACTTTAATTTGAACAGAGAATGAGTGGTTTGAACTATTGTTTTATTTATTTATTTATACACACGCATGCACGTGCACACGCACATGTACTGGCTTTGCACTCCCTACCTTCCCACACCAGATTTGCCTGCAAAGGCAATAAATCAGTAAGATTAATCACAGATTTAAAACATTAACTTTTAAACTGGGATTTCTTTGGAACTTTTCTCCATGAAAGTGTGTTTCATGTTCATGGCGAGATTGTTAAAAAAAAAAATAATCAAGATCCCCTCCTCCAAAAGAATAATAGGTTGACTCTAAAGATCATTTTCCCCAGCAAAATGGGAGGTGATTTTTGCCAGTTCTCTCTCACTGCTAACCTGAGCTCAAGTCCAAAAGCCGCTATCAAAAACTGAACTCAGACCTAAACTCAAAAGTCTTGTCTTCAATGCTTTATGAAGCAATGCTTTATGAAATTCTGAAAACAAGTTAAGCTGAAAAGGTTTTTACTTACCCCAAACACACATAATGTTTACCACGGTTCTTGGTTTTCCACTCTTCTGTGCATTCATTTTGCTTTTGGTATTGCAGTGCCGACCAGCAGTAAACCACAGCAGGTCATCCAGTTTAAGCCTAACCGTTGAAAGCGCTTTGGAAAGCTTTGATTTCCTGAACACCTCTGATTTCGATGAGGATGAGGGTGGCACAGATGAGCTTTTCAGTGGTAGTGGTCGAAGGACTGACTCTGTCTTCTCAGACTCTGAGACTGATAAAAACAGGTAAGAAGGTCGACATTTTCTACTCTTTAGGTCAGGCTCCTGCACTAGTCATCAGATATCCAGATATACACTCATTGTTCATACACTCATAGGGATCAGGACCCAAGCCCAGTAGCGGGACATGTATACTTTACTGGAGTCTGAGGGTTTGGGACAGGTTTTCCTATTGAGGAGTGCAAATAGAGATCTGAGAATTAATTGACATGGCCTGAATATTCTTTGCTGCATCACCAAGAAGTCTCCAGGTCAGGCTTCAGAATAAAAAAGTGAACTGCCATCAGGTGGGATTTCTTGGTCATGATCTAGAGAAAGTGCCTCTCTCTTCAAAACGCTGAGATGGGTAAGAGAGCCATTGTGATGCCGTGATGAGAATGTTGGACGGGGACACTCAGGTTGAACTCCCCACTCAGGGATGAATCTCAGTGGGTGACCTTGGGACAGTCATTCTCTCTCAGCCTAGCCTCCCTCACAGGGTTCTTGTGAGGCCAAAATGGTGGGAGAACCATCCTGACTCCCTTAGAAGAGGGATGGAATAAAAATGCACATCAGTGCTGTTTTTATTGAAAAGAACATAAGAACATAAGAGACGCCAATGTTGGATCAGGCCAAAGGCCCATCCAGTCCAACACTCTGTATCACACAGTGGCCAGAAACACCAGTGCCATCAGGAGGTCCACCAGTGGGGCCAGGACATTAGAAGCCCTTCCACTGTTGACGCCCCCCCCCCCAAGCACCAAGAAGACAGAGCATCACTTGCCCCAGAGTCCCTATCTATACCTTGTGGCTAATAGCCACTGATGGACCTCTGCAATATTTTTGTGGACAAAGTCACTGCTCAAGCTTTGCCATTCTGGAGTGGGAATGGGGTGGAGGAAAAGGTAGTATAGGTACTAGGAGAGATTTCCACATTGCCTGCTTCTTCCTGGAAGCTGGCCAGAGCCTAGAAGTCAAGAAATGAATTACCAAAAACAACAACTGTAGTTCCTCTCTTCGTTTTATCAACAGAGCAACTGCATATTGAGCAACCTTTATTTACTCTAAGCCAGAGGTTCCCAATGTTTTTGAGCCTGAGGGTACTTCTGGCATTTTGAGAAAATGGCATTGCATGCTGCCACCACAAACTGCCTGATATGGGAGGTCAGACAAGTCACAATAGTGTTACCCTAAGGGGTTGTGAGGGTCTCCTGAGGTTGTTGCAGAATTAGCCAGGAAACCCAAACAATATGGGGGGTAATCAAGCAGGATTTCCACCTATGTTTACAGGGATTTTTCCCTCAGTAGAACTCTCAAAATGAACCAGGCCATGATTAATGAAAAGGTTTTTATTAAAGAGAATTAAATAATAAAATCAAAAACTTATTAATTGAAGAGCACTCTATAAACACACATGCAAGTTCAGAAAATATAGGCGGTAGCTTTATAGAGACAAAGAAGGGAACTTATTCTATGGGGCTATGGCCCCGGTCACACGTGCCAGAAAACGCGGGGGGGGGAGGCGTGGCTGTTTGCGGCGGCGCAGTTAGCAGTGCGACAGCGTGATCAGACGCATCGGCGGCAACCCACGGTTGCGGCCCTTGGCATGTGCGCTGCAACAAAGACGGCCGGAGGGAAAAGCTGCGCCGGTGCGATCACACCAAGGGAGTCTGGAGGCAGCCCGTGGCAAACCGTTTGCTACTACCTTCAAGGTGGTATTTTTTAATCTCGCATTTTCGGCGGCATGCCATGGGTTGGCTACGGGTGCGCTCCACTTGCTAGATGTTGTGGTGTGATCACACCCAGAAAATCCGCCATCCAATTGTGGCTCTCCCACGGCAAATATTTACCTATCCAAGGAACAAAGATCTGAGGAGGATGACGAGCAAAACAAACCAGTGTCTCTCTCTCTCTCCAGGCAGTGCACCCAATCTTGTGTTGGGGGTGTAAGTTAGTGGATGTCCAGATACATACATTACTTAACAAAGTGTGTCTGGTTATACCCCTTGGAGCATGATGCGATTGTTCCTAGAACAATGCTGTGATGATTATAGTGAAACAATGTTGTCTGAGCAAGGAAGCTTCATAACGTTCCCAGGAATTGCAAGTGCAATGTAACATTCATGTGAAATGTCTATTGTGTTTGGTGACCTCTAATTGCCAGGACAAGACAACTATTACACAAAGAATTATGGGGTTAAAATGGCTTTTACTAAGTGTTTACTTAGTGTGGCCAGGTAGGGAAATCCATCTCGCCAGGTAGTGTGGCCAGGTAGGCCGAGAAATCAATCTTTGACGCTGATGAATTTAAAGAGGGATGAGAACTGCCAGAAACCGGACACTTTCACAATGCACCTTTGGGATTAGTTTTCCGGACAAGCCTCTGGTCAATATTTGATGGCACACATTCCATGTGACTGTAGGACCGATTTTGATCCTATTTGCAGACCAGGGAAGAGTCTAGAGTGGGTGACCCTGTGAGATGCTGAAAAGTACGTGGACGGAGAGTGATTTCAGCTTAGCGTACTTTATTAGATCAGGAACAAGATGACTTTAGCCGGCTCGCATGCCGGCTTATATTCCCCATGAACTGCCACCCATAACACACCCCAGTAGATTATTTACAGTGGCCGAGAGTTCCACAGGCTCTCAGCTGGGAACCTAGCCCCCGGTGCGGGCTAGGATCCGCATAGTCCATTGTCTTTTCGAGCGAAGCGCAACGTTGGCGCTTAACCGCGTGGAGCCCAAGCTGGCCACGCGATCTGAGACGAGTATATTACAGATGCTAAGAAAGAAGGTTGCCTGCCATCACCTTTTCCAAGGTACCAGACTAGTCCTTCTGAAGGAGGAGGTGTCCAGGCATAACAACTGAGCTGCCATAGGTACTATTTCAAAAAGTTGGGATGTTCCAAGCCTCCTGTGAGGGGGGCAGTTATTTCTGAATGGATGCTGCTTGCAGAAATAAAGATGATGCTTCCAGGTACCTTCTGAAGCACCTAGAATCGTAGACTTGGAAGGGGCCTCCAGGGCCATCTAGTCCAACCCCCTGCACAATGCAGGACATTCACAAATACCCCCACACCCCCACTGACCCCTGTTCCCTGCCCAGAAGATGACAAAAAACCTCCAGGATCCCTGGCCAAACTGGCTGGAGAAAAATAGCTTCCTGACCCCAAAGTGGCAATCAGCATTTCCCTGGGTGTGTAAGAAAGGGCCACAAGAACTAAGCACTGATGCAGCCCTTCCTGCCCTCCCTCTCATGATCTGCCTGTTCACCTGCTGCTCCAGTGAGATGCAGGAAAGTCAGGATTGGCTGTTTGCTTTGGGGAAGAGGGGCCTTGGGGGGAAAGCCTCTGGGCATCAGGAAATCCATAGAGGGGTGCCTCCATGGTGTCACGTTGGGGATCACGGCTCTCATGCCTCACTTGAATGCATTAGGATGCTGTGCTGTACAGGTGTTCTGTGGAAAGGTTAATTGGGCATGTAATTAAGAATTTAATCACAGTTCTTCAGTCTGTTTTACAACCCTGGCTCAGGCATGAAAGTTTGAACACCTCACTCAAGCCCTGGAACACAGAAGTGGATTAATGATGGGGGCAACACTCCAGTTTTCACTCCAGCTACTGCCTCTACAATGTAGTGCCCATGAGCTCCATGGCGCCTACCAATGCCTTTCCTGGCACCTGCCAAGTGTTTTTAGAAAGTAGGTGGAGCCAGGTGGGGCTTCTGCCCAAGACTTCTGATTGACCAGTCAAGAACGGATTGGCTGTGACGATACTTGAAAACATTGTTTTCACAGCAGCTGCCACCTCAGCACAAGAATCGTCTCTGTGTGACTGAAAGTAAGCTGTTAAAGCCATTTTGTGGCTGGCTCCGCCTCCTGCAGCAGCCATTTTGTGGCATGCCCATCATGGCATGTCAGAACTCCGAAGGTGCCTGCAGGCTCAAGAAGGCTGGAGACCCTTCCCTGCATCTTAATATGAAGCATAAAATAAGTATTCTTACATCACAAAGCCCCAGCTTTTCTGTGTAATTGTTGCTCCTGAAGTTACCATTAGAGAAGAAGGGAGTTGTTCTTATACCCCACCCTTCACTACCCGGAGGAGTCTCAGAGCGGCTTACAATCACCTTCCCTTCCTCTTCCCACAACAGACACCCTGTGAGGTAGTTGGGGCTGAGAGAGCTCTGAGGGAACTGTGACTGACCCAAGGTCACCCAGCTGGCTTCATGTGGAGAAGTAGGCTCCAGATTAGAGTCCCACCGCTCTTAACCACTACATCATCTGGCTGTCGATTGAGGTGTGATCTTGCATCCAGAAAACGTAATAGCATTGATTCTGATCAATGCAGAGTCAAGCCTGGTGAAAACTCCTTAGCAGAAAGAGTAATAGACCTGGCTTCTAATGCTTACACAACTTGATCTTGTTCTAATGAAGATCCTGAGGGTCTGATAACATCCTTGGTGCTGATCTGAAATGTTCAAAACTATTACATTGCAACATCTGTTAGTTACGAGCACAGATGCTCTTCTCAAATGTTCTGCAACCCATATTTCACTGTAAACACTGAACTAATTATTTAAACAATGAGATTTTCATTGTCCTATTAAAAAAAGAAATATTAAACTTGTGTTCTTGGTGTGTCTTAAGCACCAGAAGAAATCATAATCTCTTCTGCTCCCACAATTTCCCCTTTTGATTCCTTGGCTGGTTATTAATCAAGGGCTGGTAAAGCACTGACAGATTAGGTCTTAATTGTATAACTTTTGAAACCACAAATCTATAATTCAGTTAAATCCATAACAGTTTGGCAAAGCATTTTGTCAATGGGCCAAGATTTTCTTGGGAGGTGGGGGGGGGGTTAGAAAACGAGTTCTAATGAAGTCTCGTTCTCAAAGACTTCTTAGTGAGAACTCTACACAAAAGAGGCATTGTTTCAGAGAAACAAGTAGGCCACTGTGGAAGCAATATATTCTTTAAATGCAGACACTCCTTTGGCTTCTGCTCCCTTGGCCCACTGCCAATTTGAGATATGATGCATTCATTAAAAGGTTCTGGCCTACCAAGGGGCTGTTTGGTTACAGATCGGTGCTTTCAACAGTTCCTCTTTTGCATGATGTTAGTCATGTCAGGCCTACATGAAAAGAAAATCAAGTTGCTCACTTACCTCCCGGCATGAACAGTTACAGGTCAGAACACCCAGAAGCCAGAGGGCACCTCAGTGAAGCGTTGACAGAAGACACAGGAGTTGGTACCAGTGTAGCTGGAAGCCCTCTCCCATTGACCACAGGGAACGAAAGCCTCGATCTTTCCATAGTCAAGCACTTGCAGTATTGCACACAGCTTATCCAGGTAATGTTCTTGTCCAGGTTGGTTTTTAAATGATTATTGCTGGATACGTGCTTGTATCCAGCAAACAGGATTTTTGTCTGTTCTTTGTCACATTTAAATGGTTCTGATTTGTATTGCTATGCATCTGTGTGTTCTTCTGTGCTGAACTTTGGTATTGTGTAGTACAGAGATCAGTGCAAGAGTGAACACCTGAACCATACACAACAAGGGACAAAGGCAGGTTCGCTGTGGCTGTGGAGGCTAGCAAGTCATAACAGGTGTGTGGTAGCAGCAGACTGTAATAGGCCCAGCCCAGAGGAAGTTGTGCATAGATCCTATTCAAATGAATGGGAATTGGGTTAGTTGTGACTAAATTTCTACACTGATTTCAGTGGGACTTAAGAGCAACAAACGGTCTCTGGATCAAGGCCATAGCTTTGGGCCATAAACCACACTAAATCCAAAGGGATTAAGTTTCTTTAAATCTACCTGCTCTACTTTAATCCACTTGTTGGAAAGTGGATTTATGCAAAACATCACCGCAAACTGAGAGAACTCTGAAGATACTATATTATAAAATATGTTGGCATACATCTACAGTCCATAAACCTCATGGAGCAGGGTTTTCCTACTTCCCCTTCCCTCTGCAGTGCCCTGAGCCCCTGAAATTTTAGTCTGGAGGTCAATAGATGGTCCGGAACAGCACAGAGGGGAAAGCCATCTTAGCGGGGAGAAACGGCGGCGCGGCCGGGGGATCCGTGAGATCCCGCCGCGCCGTGTCAACATTGGCGCGGCTTTTAAAAGCCGCGCCTTTTCCCCTGCGTGTGGCAGGGGCCTTGGTAGCCCTGACTGGGCAGAAAGGCAGGATATACATTTAAAATAAATAAATAATGCAGATGTCTGCAGTGGGAGAAGAATCAATGGAAATCACCGCCCCATCTTCTGAAGACTTGGGTCCTTAAATCCTTGGAACTGTGTTGTTGGATACATACCTCTGTTCCTATCCTATCTTTTCTCCATGACAGTACGGTAGCATACATAGTTATGTCCCCCCATTTAATCGCCACAGCAATCCTGTGAGGTAAATTAGGCTGGGGGGGAAAATGTGACCCAAGGCTACCCAGTGAGCTTCAGGGAAGTTTGAGGATTTGTTGGGTCTGAGGAAGTTTGTTGGGTCTTTCATCACTTCTAACCACTGTACTACACTTGCTCGTATTCGCTCAATTTATGTTTTTCCATATTAGTACATTTTAACAGATGCTCTCCCCCCACGTGTATGTGTGTGTTTGCATGTGTTGTTTTTGCACATTGCCTGTATACATAATATAATTTTGCTCTACCTTTTCCCCCCAGCAAATTGTGTTTTCCAGCAAAACTCAATTTGTAACAAGAAACCTCCTAGATAAACTATCCCAACAGATTCTAGTGATTGAGTGTCTTGCAGAGATCAGTAATGAGAACATGGGGAACATCAGACCTATAAGTGAAGGTAAGAAGTGGCATAATTTCCATGGAAAATATGGTTGTATACTTAAATATTCCTTAACCATTTCCCTGTGAAGTGCTGTATTAGAAATATGCTTTTAAAACATACATGTTGAAAACTGAAAGGCATTCTTGGAATCACAAATGAAAGATAGTGTTTAACTAAAATGTCCTATACATTTTAAATCTATCAATTTCTCTGCTTACACTGAGGGCTAGTTTTGTGTTTTTTAAAATGTGAAATTTTCAAGAATTCAAATCCTATACACACATAGATTCTGTGTAACATGGATATGCAGAAATAGTGTTGGGTAGACGTCCATTACAAGCACTTATAGGGCATAAGCACACCAAATTTATAAGTAGGGTTGTGATCCATGGATTTCACACCTTTTGTAATTTTTATTCTGAAAAACAAAAGTAACTCTTCACAACTCTCAAAGGATGCTGGTGTTTTAACTCACTTTCAGGGAGGCCCCTTTTAGGAGTGGTGCATGTTGCTCAGCAATGGTTGGAATACTATCTATCTATATTTTCTTTTCCTTCTGGCAGCATCAACGTAATCCTGACCAGACAGATGGTCTGGGTTAGTAGAAAGGCAGACCAGGGACTTCAGATCGCTCCTGTCTTGGATGGGGTTATACACCCCTTGAAAAGCCAGGTTTTGCAGCTTGGGGAGTGCTGCTTGATACAGCAGTCACCTTAGAAAACCAGGTGGCTGTGGTGGTCCAGAGTGCTTTTGCCCAGCTTCAGCTGGTGCGTCTGCTGCACCCCTTCCTGGGTCATCTAGCCTGGATTATTGCAACGTGCTCTGCTTGGGGCAGCCCTTGAAGAGTGTTCAGATGCTGCAGATGCTGCAGATGCTGCAGAACACTGTGGCTAGACTGCTGGGCCAGTTATTGGGAGCATGTGACTCCCATACTACAGCCATTACACTGCTCCCAAGCTCTGTTCAAGGTATTGGTTTTGACCTTTAAAGCCCTCCGTGGCTTGGGACCAGGATATCTGAAGGATTGCCTTCTCCCATATGTTTCTGCCCAGGAATTCAGATCAGAGGGAGAGGGAATCCTGACTGTCCAGTCAATCAAAGAAGCTTGTTTGGTGAATGCACAAGGCCTTTTTGGTGACAGCCCCATGATTATGGAACGACCTTCCCAGGGAGGAGCACCTGGCCCCCATATTTTTGATCTTTAGGTGGTAGCTGAAGAGAGTTTTATTTAGGAATGCATATGATTAAAGCAGTCCTAAACTGTGATTTAAAATATTTGTTTTATGTATTTTATGTACTCTGTGTGTTTATTTATATTGTAAGCCGCCTTAAACTCTGTAAGGAAGCAAGGTGGCTAATAAATGCTTCAGATAAATAAATAAATGAACTCGTGGTTTTCTTTACCTATCAGAAATCACAGAATTTCAAAAAAGGATTTCCCTGTCCTTCTGGAATAAATGTACATCCCATTCTTCTGGGATTTACCACACCTCTGCAGACAAGCTGATCAAACAACTGGACATCACATTCGCTGCAGCTGTGAATGAGGCATATCCGGGGCTTGCAGAAACAGGTGCAATTCTCGAATGTTTTTTTGAATTAGCGGTGCAGGGGGCTCCTCTTTGATGGATGGGTTCTGTAAGACACCAGTACTTGGCAGCAAAAATTATAGCCATCATCTGTTAGATCACCCGCATCTTAATGAAATCACCTGGGAAATAATTAGAAGATGTTAGTGAACTTTATCATGTTGAAATATGTTGCCCTGCATTCTATATACCAATCAAAATGTGTTGTATTTGAAACCCAGAGTTTTATTTGAGCATTGATCTATGTAGATTAACATGGGGGACTAACATGTTAGATTAACATGGGGGATATTCACAGGGGTGGAGAACCCCATCCCCTGTTCACCTGGCCAGCCAACCACTCGCTGGTGAGTGGTCACTCACCACTCACTGCCAGTGCTTCCACCTTTGTGTGTGGCTCACGTGGCGTGCAGAGGGCGGTGGCTGCTTCTGCTTCTCCTCCCCTGCCTTCCAGCTCCTCCCTTGCCTACTTACCTAGCTGCCTGCAGCATTGGTGGAGGAGGGTGGCAGCTTCCAGTTATCCCCTGGCCCAGCTCATGCAGTGGTGGGGTGCAGTACTGGATGGGAGAGGGGACTGCCAGGAAATGGAGGCTTTCTGCAGACACTTGTACTACCTCCCAGCCCAGACACCACTGGCACTGAATGCCCTCTGTTTTGGGCCTCCCTCTTCTTTCCTTCCTGGCAGCTAGGAAGAGATGGAAGAAGGGGGTGGAGGCAGTGGTGTCAGGCCTAACATCATGGTGCTTAACATCCTGGTTTCTTCCCCTTCTAGTGGTGAGGAGGTAAGAGGGGAGACTAGCAATGTCATCAGCACTCAATACGTGCCTTCCCCAGCACTCAAACCAGTGTCTGCGTTTGCTCAGATAATGTTTCTCCAGTTTGAAGAGCCTGTAAATACCCACTCACCCCCATTTTTAAAAAAATGTTTGTGATTTTTCTGCAAACCTGGGGGTTTCCCTGGGTTTGTAAAAAACATGTCTCCTCTCTGTTCCCAGCCCCCTTCTCTGGGTTTATCAATCCACACAGGGGCCTGGTTCAGCCTAAAATATAAGATGCGGTAATGCCAGAAGTCTCATCCTGCTAGGTTAGTGCACCAGCTGCTCATCTTATATTTTAGCTTCCCTTATGGAAGTGTGTACAATTTTGGTGTACAATTTTTGGTACATCCCTGAGATCTAGAAGTGCAAGGCACTCTTTCAGTAATGACCCATGAGCTTGTTAAACCAAGTTTTGATTGGATTCTCTAGAATTGCTTCTAGATGGTTTAGTGGTATAGAATGGCTACCAAACTTAGAAGTAAGAAAATGTGAGGATATTGCGCTTAACATTTCAATAATTTAAATATTATTTGACAATAATTTAAATATTATTTGATTATGACACTGATTATAGTCAATTACATTATTTGACCACTGTCAGGTCCACGGATATCTAGAATCCTCTTTTCTGTATCACTTTTTAAGATAGCTGCTTATGAACCCCACAATTAACAGAAGTTTTAAAACTAAATATTAGAGGTATCATCCTCTTTAAAGAAGCCTTAATTGTGCCTGCTGTAATCAAATATTTGTGCCAAACGGGATTAAACCGTGATAACCTTACTGATTAACAATTCTTACAAGTTCATTTTGTATTTTTATATATTTTAAATGAATAGTGCAATACATATAACATGTGAAAATTATATAGAAAACTGCAGTCTTTGTTTCTTTCTGTATAAAAATCCAAAGGCTCTGAAAAATTCATCCATAGGAACTAAGTCCTTATATGAAGAAAGTTCATCAAATGGGAAGAGTCTTATTAAAGAGAAGACACATTTCACCAGGCCCTCACAGAGGTCAAGAGAGGCCTGCCTTCCATTTTTTTGGCCCCCCCCCCCCCCCCGGTAAATTAAAAAATGAAGAAGTGTGAAAACAATGATACAAAATCAGTAGTATTATATTTTAAATGTTTGCACTTAATACAATAAGAAAAAGAATATTGTAAGACTTTGTAATAAATGTTCCAATTTTTATTTAACATATGATTTAATATCAACAGTGTAAATTTGAGGGGGGGGAGTATGTGAGGCCCAGGCCAAATGGCCCTGCTCCCCCCCCCCCGCATTTCACATTTCATTAGTGTATTGTTGACAAGGAAACCAGCATGAAGCCGTGTTTCAAAGATTTTTTCAAAGCAGGAAAAATTCAAGATACAAGCGTCATATTTTGCAAATTAATAGCAGCAATTTAAACATGAGAACTTTCTCTGACACAGCACCCTCATGGGAAGGGTCAATGTATCCAAACCTGAGCATAAATTCCACTGATGTCAGTTTATACGGATAGCCTAAGCCTTTCCCTGGTACAACCTTAGTGCAATATGTGTATAGCTGAGCACTTTTAACATTTCTAAAAGTTAATACATGGAAGCAAATTGTTAAAAGATCAGAGTGCAGGTTTTCCAGTAATTTTAGTTTTTTAATTATATCATCTTCTCATTCACAGCGTTCAAAACTTTGGTGTCTCATATCTTGGACCGGGTGGAGCCTATCCTCTCTTCTAGTCTATCTTTGGAAATCATAACAGTCTTTCAGTACTACAACTATTTTGCAAGCAAAAGCATTACTGACCTGGGAAGCTATTTGCTTCAACTTGCAAAAGAAGGTAAGGATGATAACCTTATTCTTAAGGAAGAAAACTATCTCACCGTTTCAGAGGAGAACACTGAAGAATTCATTTTGCACAAGGAAGCCAGGAGAATGTTTTCTGTACAGGAACCAACAGGCCCAGAGCTCTTCCTTAGGGTCTGATCAGCCCTGTGGTAAGGAGCCAAGGAGCCATGAGGGCCATTTTGTATGTGACATGTGCCCTCCCTTCCAAAATGGCTGCTTCACGTGATGGCTTTAACCCTAAACCCTAAAAAGTGCCACAACATGGATTAGAGACTGCCAGACATACCTGATGGCATTGGGTGCTGGTATGGAAATCCTCAGAGCATATCAGTCTACAAGAGGCTGCGGGCTGTTTCAAAGCCTATTTCAAAGAGCCTTCAGGTAGTATGTTGTCGAAGGCTTTCACGGCCGGAGTCCAACAGTTGTTGTAGATTTTCTGGGCTGTATGGCCGTGGTCTTGCCATTGTAGGACTTTGGTCTTGGCATTGTTAGCAGGCCAGAGTCTCGTTCATTATCAGAATTAACCAGACAAATCGCTCCACCAACTAAGAATGGCCATGCACTTCACCCAGCCCGGACACAGAAAGAATTGATGGATTGATAGCTCTTTCTCGATTCTGTGGGTGGTGGTGCATGGCCGTTCTTAGTTTGTGGAGCGGTTTGTCTGGTTAATTCCGGTAATGAACGAGACTCTGGCATGCTAACAGGTCTACAATGCCAAGACCATGGCCATACAGCCCGGAAAATCTACAACCACTGAAGCCTTCAAGTAGACTTCCCCTTATAAGTAGGTTTCCCGTACATGACAAAAATATCACTGACATGTCTTTGCATTTTAGCGTCAACAGTTCAGACTCTGCAGTCCTTGAGAGATGAAAAATGCTTGCAGAATGTGATCCCATTAACCGCCATCAGTCTTCCACCTCAGCAAGAAATACTGAAATCTTTGGCTGTCCTCCTCCTAACGGAGAATAAAAAGGAAACCTGCGAAGCTGTCGCATCAATCTTATTAGCGGCTGCAGAAGACAAGCACTTCAGGGAAAAGGCAAGTAAGGCGTGAAATTGCACCCAGCTGTCAGTGTTAGGGCAGGGGTGCTAGATTTTGGCTAGGATACTTCAACAGTTCTTACTTTGTGGTGAGGAGGAAACCTGCAGCCTATGCAGCTCCACTTCCAAGCTACAGTAGAGGAGAAGTGGCCTCTCTCCTCAACCTGCCCATCCTTTGAGGATGCACTGCTTCAGGTGTCTCGTCTCCTTCCTGTGGGAAATCAATCAGAGTTAGATCTGGGCCTTCTCTCCAGTTGCCCTGGAATTAAGGAGCAGTTTCCCTAAGAAGGCTTACCAGAGCCCAGTAGTCTGACTTTTAGACGGTACTGAAAGCTTTTGTTACCTTTTCAGCCGAGCTTTTCAGCAGCTTAGGACAATCATCACAGCTGTACTATTTGGTGCACTCTCAAGAGCATCTTTAATTGGTTGCTATGAGTCGGGTCCCTTCCACAAGGTCTTCTTTCAACAACAGCAAAAAGACTTCCTTCAACAAAGGAAGAGTTTTCTCCATCAGGAAAAACGTCCTTCTCCATTGGAGGAAGTCTTTCCCTATTGAATGAAGATTTAGCAAGAGAGAGTCATCGGATCAAACAGTGGAAGGAATTATTTTGTCAAGCACCAGAGACTGACTAACACATTTTGATAGCAAAGACAAAATCCGAAAGGCACTCTCCCCACCACCACCACTGCACACACACAAACACACATTAAGCATAGTGATAGTAATAAAATAACTGAACTTTAATGATATCCCAATATTTGCCACTTGAAATGAGCTAACTCATGCAATCCTGTTAGCCATTATAATTACATTGCTGAAATGTGGAATATAGATTATTTTTAAAAATTAAACAAACTACTGTGGAGAGACAGAGACAGCATCACCACTAGATGTGAAAGCAGCTGCCTAGGAGAAGACACTGTCGAAGTCAGGAATATCACATAGAAGAAGGCTACAGGGAGACAGAGGAGGACTACAAAACTGGCATAACATTTGTTGGGATTATCCAGTTAGTCTTAACTGGCATTTGCATGTGTCTTTTGCATGAACACTCCTATACTTTGCACAGGGAATGAGCACAGTCCCTAAAATAATCAAATATTTAAAGTTCAGAAAAAATCATAAAATAGTGTCAAGAAGTTAGGATTGGATCACACACACTGCTGATGTCACAAGTGCTGTTCCATAAATGACTGTGACACTCATGCAACCCACATTTTGTTTAGCACAAACAAGCTGACAGAGGAGGGGCATTGCATTTTAAATTTATTCTGTTTATTTATTAAAACATTTGTACCCTGCCTTTCCTTGTGGTTCAAGGCAGCTTATGATTTTTCAGTTAAAAACAAAAAAAGAGCAAAGCCCAGATCTCTTCCTCTCCTCCCCAGTGATAACATATTATCATTGCAGAGCTCAGAAAATGAAATACAGTTGGCAAAAAGGGTTGTTGCTTTCATGAAAGACCCCTAGAGTCTCTGTAGCAAATGAGTAACAGATGCCTGATTTTTGCATTATAACCTGATAATTTGGAATGGCCCATAGAGCACATCTTCCAAATCACTGCATCAATTTATTATTCATCAGGTATTGGAACATCTTTTTTGTGATATAGTATGGAAGCTTCTTCCTCATGGTCTTTCTCTCTCTTTTTTTTTTTTTTGCTCCAGGCTTTAATTTATTACTGTGAAACGCTTGCACAACCCAACCTCCACCTCCAGAAAGCAGCTTGCCTGGCACTCAAATGCCTCCAGGTAAAACTCTACTATCTTTGTGTTCACATGCACAGCAGAAGGTCAGGCAGCAATGAGGATTTCAGTAGTGCTTCCAGAGTAACAACGAGGGCCTTGTTCTTTTGCATTTGCCACCACTATTATGTGGGTGTTTCTTTTTTAAACGAGTAATTTAGGACCTAGAAATAGCTCCAGTATGAGAATAATCAACTATCCCTGAGGCCTCTCTCACTTGATTGCAGCAGTCTAATATTCGGAGATGTAGGTGGACTAATTTTTAGTTTAAAAACTAATGTTTGTGTAGCAAGGCAGGGCAAAAACATAGGTCTTCTTCAAGATTCAAAAGACAGGGGGAGAAGGGTGGGGATGGTGTCCCACAGTGTAACAATACTAACAATAGTAGCTGCTTTTGTATTCACCCTCAGACAGGGATCTGTTGGAATTACTCCTGGTAGTTTAGCAGAGTGCTGAAGGTTATAAAACAGCAGAGCTCATCTGGTCAGTGTGTGTGCTGCAGGATCAAAGTTACATGGAGCCTCTTTATCTTTGTAAAGCTAATAAGAGGCCTTTATTATATGGAACTCCATTCTAGACAGGATGGAGTAGAGATAGTTTCTAATCTAGTCTAACTAGCTAGGATGGCTGGAGATACAGGAGGCATGTCCTGCTCTCATGCTGCCAAGATGGAGAGTATGAGGCCACAAGGAAGGAAGTTTCACTAAGAGTAGCAATCTACACATCAAAGGGACAGCATCCAAGAGAAAAGGGAAAGATAGTCAGTGCCCTGGCGGGTCTGTCTCTCTGACTCTATTGTAGCCCCCCTCTGAAGTCTGAGGCTAAGAGACAGCATAAAGCCCTTCACTTCCAACAGGATCTGCTTCAATTACTGCAGTAATTTGTGGCTTTGCATGTACAGAGGAAAAATATAGGCTCTGTTGCTAATGCAATCATCTGTAAGGTCTAACACCATTTCATTCTACATGATTAAGTACCATAAATATAGTTGTATCTGCATCGGAAAGTACAGTTAAAATGCATTGGAAAGTAGCACATGCTTTCCAGGCCTATACTAGGAAGATAAGAATGAGAATGAGAATACAAATAACATAGAGTTTCCACATATTCATATATATTTCTAGTCCAAACTAAGCCCAGAATGACACTTTAGAATTGTGTGTCCCTCCGTAAAGTCTTCATGCATAATAAAGTTCAGACAAAACCAGAATTTTGAACTAGGCCCAGGAACTGGGAGCTAGTAGTTATTAAAAATGTCACCTTGAGTTCCACACATTCTGTCCTTGTGGCTGAACTATTTGTAATTCCCAAAACTCTTAAAGGGCAACCCCTTTATACACACAGAATGTATTACAGCAATAGAATCTGAATGTCACCAAGGCTTGAATTACAAAGGCTAATACCACAAAATAATCAACAGATAGTAGTTCCTTTTCTTTTTCACACAACCAGCTTTACCCCATGAGCGCAAACAAAATGCTCAAAGGGCTATTGTTGGATGGAAGCGGCACATCTGTACACACATTCCTTTGTCCATTTGACTCTTAGCTGCTGGAATTAACTCAACAAACCAAATAAATGGAAACTCTGCAGGTGTACCATAAAGCATATGTTTATGTACAGGTTTGAAGAACTAGGCAAGAAGCTGAGAATAAGTAAATACATAATGGGAAATTTGGAATAAGACTAGAAAATAATTAGCAATGCTTTTTTATGTATACACAGGCAACTGAAAGTATTAAAATGCTTGTCACACTTTGCCAGTCTGATAATGAAGAAATGAGAAAAGTAGCCTCTGAAACCCTGCTCTCTCTTGGTAGGTTGACTGTCCTGATTCAATACCTCTATAAATTATCTTTTATTACCTGGGGCTAAGCAAACTGATGGAAATAGTGGGGGGGGGGGAGAAGAACATTGATGGATATGCTGTGATCTGGATCAGATGAAACATTCCCCAATCGCTCTCCCACCTGTAGTGGGGAGCTAGAGTGAGATCATGCTTCTCTGTACACCCAGCATGCCTACTAGGGTAAAAACCAGATCAAAACCATAGAATTTGCCCAAAAACTAGAGTGTCACCACCACCATCCCAACACAATGACATCACTTCTGGGTGACATCATTGTGTCAGGGACATCGCATCATCCTTGTTTGGAGGTGGGGCTTCCCCCGCCAGCCAGCTGGCCAGGGGTGGATCAGAGCCACGCAAAGCGGGGGAACCCCCACTGGGAACTGGGGGATGGCAACCCTAATGCCTACCCATCCATGCAGGGGTCTTAAAATTTGAATAGTGCATATATGCATACAGTCTAATATTTGCATGCACAGAATGTGAAAAACAGAATTGTTCAGGAGGGCATTTTTATGAAGGGAATAGGATTGTTGTAAAATGGAATTGTTCAGGAGGGTATTTTTATAACGGGAATGGATGGTAGTTTATTGTTTTTACTGCATTCAGTTTCTAGTAATCCAATTTTTGTATTGTTTATGGCGTATCCCATACTGTTTTTTATTCCATTTTTAAATTTTGTAATCTGCCTTTAGTCTTAATGAGAATGGAGAACTACAAATAATATAAATAGATAAAGCACACTTGGTTGATTTCCCAGACAAAATCCAGAATCAGCCATGTGATCTGGATTTTACATGAATTTGAATTTTAGAATTCCATGCAGACATTCTGTGGTGTCAAGAGATGGGGCGAGTAATCAGGGAGGCTAAGTATATTTCCACACCTTGAGATGCAAAGAGAAGCTGATGGGTATTGTCTGGTCCAGCCTATTGAAGAAGGCAAGCAAAGCAGCAAAGCTGCATTTGAAACTATTCAGGAAGAACAACTTAACCTTCCTGATTTGAATGTCAGTGCCAATATTAGATACCTACACATGAACATATAAAGTGATATGTTCACATTGAACACATTATTGTAAAGGAAGACTTTGGGTGATTTCTCACGAGAGCTGCCTCGCAGCACAGCGCCGTTTGCCTCGACACAAACGTATCAATTTCACACCCGAAGCTCCGGGGCTGCATTTGACTCGGGGCTTCGCCCGATTTCCTCCGCAGTTTCATGATCCTCAAAAACCAGGATCACGAAACTGCGGAGGAAATCGGGCGAAGCCCCAAGTCAAAATGCAGCCCCGGAGCTTCGGGTGTGAAATTGACACGTTTGTGTCGAGGCAAACGGTGCTGTGCTGCGAGGCAGCTCTCGTGAGAAATCACCCTTTGAGTCTTCTTTCACTGACACACTAGGCTATCAGAATTCTCGAGAAATATGTATACAAATCCAAAAGCAAAGTGTATGCTTCTAAGTATGACACACAGAAAGACAATATCGCTTCAGGCAAAGTGCATGACAGGTTTCAGTTTGTTCAAGTATAATAAAAGACGTGCTTTTAAGATTCTGGAGCATCCCTCCCTTGTGGCTGAGTTCCCTTCCATTCATGGTAATGTTGAACATCTGGAATTAAATGGAAAGGGTGGATCATACAAGAAAGCCTGATGACAACTCTGCTCTTCTCTTGTGGCCCACTGGAGCACTTCTCACATGATTCCACAGATCCAAATGTTACCAGAGTAGCATGGGATCCAGCCACATGGAATGGGCTGCTCTGGTAACATAGGGATTGGTCCCAAGACTGATAACAGGAAGGGTGGATAGTGGGATTCCCAACGAAGAACAATTCTCTCACTTCAATAAGGGAAACGGTAAAGCCATCTTGCTTAATTGTTGTCTGTTCTTATCTCTCAGCCACGGATACTAGATGCAGCCCATGGCTCAAACAGGGGACAGAGCTGACTTTGCTTCCCGTAGGAAGGCCTCTAGGGCCCAAGGTTGCCCCCCCCCCAACACTTTTGGATGCCCCAGTTGAGCCCTCTAATCTTCGGATGAGTATGTTTTCTTTCACCGATTGAGGTGACCACAGTTAGTCCACACAGAGCTGGAACGGGATAAATCTTCACGTTCTGACTACTGGGAAATTTGGTTAAAACAGCAGAGTTTGCCCAGTCAAAGAAGTGTGGTGTTGCATGCAGAAAATAAATCTCCCAAGAAGTCAATTGCAGAAGTAAAACATTTATTCGAGTAGATTCTGTTCATATTCAGATTGCAGTCAAAAGGAGAGAGAGAAGCCGAATCAGAACAGCACTTTCCCTATCACAAGTGGCCGGCTAAATCTGGCATCATTTATGTGGAAGTATGAGGGCATTGTTTCTACCGGAGAGACCTGTAGAGACGTGACTCCATGGAAAGCCATGTGAAGCATGGGGAAGAACAAAGAACACAAAGAGAGAGGAGGGGTTAGAGGGCAGCTCCCAGGTTAAGACAATGAGAGACATCTCATTCAAGATGACACTTATATGCACTTACAGTGATGTGGCACCCCCCCAATGTCTGGGCATGCTGAATCGCTCACTCCGACATAGACAACCTGGTTTGTAGACAGCAGTTCTCTTTTTAGAAACTAACAGCTAAAATCTTGTCACTTTTCTCTGGCGGATACAAATGACTGTTGTTTACAGGGAGAAAGTTGGGAGCAGGGAGAGAGAAGGCAGGGAAGAACGCCTGCTCTGTCCATTGTGCCTGCTTGGAGAAAACCCTCTCTCTTTTCTGAGAGCCACAGAGCCAAAGAATGAAACATTTGCTCTTGTTTTTGTTCTCAGGAGAGGACGGACGGCTGGCATATGAGCAACTAGATAAATTTCCCCGTGACTTCGTTAAAGTTGGCGGACGACGTGGGACGGAGGTGGCCACAGCCTTCTAAGTCTTCTGATCTGCCCAATGAACATTTAACAAGAGTCTCAATGGCTGCTTGTGTTAACCTCAATGGTGCTGTAGCTGAACTGCAAAAACAAAACTGAGTCTTTTGATGGGATGTCCTGAGACTCATGGACTTTTGGAGAATAAAAGCGTATGAAGAATCTAGATTTGGGTTCCCATTGTCTTTTACCTGTCTACTACGAAACAGTGATCTGTCCGAGATTGTGATTATTTTAACTGCTTCTGAGTGAAACTGTGTGATTGCTGTACATCGGCCTCGGCAAACGTGAGATGTTTTGAAAGCCGCTTTGAGGCATTTTTACAGACTTTGGTGTTTGCTTTTTGGGCGTTATTGCATCTGCTTGAAACATTTGATTCTCCTCCTGAAATAGTGAGCAGAAAGAAGCAAAGTAGGCAGGAGCTCTTATTGTCACCCGCGCAGAGCCTCTGTTCCCTTACAGTATTATAGCAGAAAAGTTTAAGACAAACATCAAAGGATGGCCTGCCTCTGGAAACAGTTGGATGCAAACACTGGGAGCTGTCAGTTCACTGACTCATTTTAGAGTTCCTTCCGCACTTTCCCCCACCCTACGATAATGAATTCTCATTAAGCTAGAGATTTTCTTTTGTTGTCAAGCATGCGTGTGTGGGCTGGAAACCACAAATGGAAGGGTACATGTATTACTTTTCCCAGAAAAAGAGCAAATATATGCAATGATCTTTTTTTTTTAAAGCATTAAAATCCTGGCTTCTTTTTCCCACTCCAAGGTTCCAAAAAAAAGAGAAAAGGGTCAAGCATAAGCATGTTGGTCTGTTATATTGATTTCAGTGTAACTGAGAAGAAGTGGCAGAGTTCTTGGGGACTGTTTAGAAAAAGGGTCTGCAGAATCCCTCTTCCTTGAAAAACTAAGAGGGTCTGTGTTGTGTGACAATGTTTTCACTGAAGCCATTGCTGATGATACAGCCTAAATGGTGGCAGTTTCTATACAACCACTGGGGGAAAGAGGGGGGGTAGTCATTATTTGAAACGTGTGGATATTGAAGGTTCTTTTAAAAAAAAAATGTCCAATAGAGCCGCCACCACCACCCTTTGCCAAATACATTGGCAAAACAGTATTTTTGATTACGAATGTTAAAAACCCGTGTATATACATCTGTATATTTATAAGTTATATATATTCTCTGATTAAAAGCTACATTTGTACAGCTAAACCTAAGCATTTTACTGAAGGAAACAGCCTTTTGACAACACGTGAAATAATTATGATTCGGTTTTTACAGCATGTGTCTCCCAAGAGCTTTTCATCCTCTTCTTTTGTACTGTCTTCTTTTTGCCTTCTGTTTTCTGTGGTATTTGTATATTTACTGTGACAGTCAAGTTACTAAAATAGTGTTAGTGTGGCGGGGTTTGTTTTGGTTTGCTTGCTCAATTGGCAAACAGCCCTCCTACCCATAACAGTTTTGTTAGACAGAACCTCTGTCCTGGTTGTGTTTGCCCAGGCTAATTTGAGAAAACACACAAAGCAGTCCTGTAGAGTAGAAGACAAAAAAAAATATTATTAATTAATAAAGGAGTACAGATCTCAAGGCTTTGGCACCCTGAATACCCAACAGACTCTTCGAGTGTTACAAAGGGTGACATAGGATCTTATACTCAGGATGATGCACACAAATTGAACATTATTGGTTCCATCAAACATCAGCACGCTGACCTAACAGATCTCTGATTGGCAGAAAACCTTTTAGGCTGGGCTTTCCCAAGCAAAGTTTTTTCTTTTAGCTGAAAAATAAGTGTTTCTTTCTCTTAGACTGTACAACTCTAAAAGTATCTATATAGCTGATATGGTTTACAAGGTGCCATTGTTCTTCGTTTAGCCAGAGACATGCACAGTTATAGCTGGCCTACCAAGGCCATAAGCCTCAGCAAAAATAGCAAGTTAACATTTTGTTCTTTCAGCATTTTACCCTCCCATCATTATCCAGACAACAGTCACAAATGAACTAATGTTAATACCTAAATACATTCATGATGTTAGAATCATAAATGGCACTTAACACATGCACCATGGAAGTGCTAAGTGCACCCACCAAGTCAAACCTTTTAGTCAGTGGCAGAGTATAAAATGTTTCATAAACTGTGCATGCAACAGTTTCAAAGCCTGCCTGTAATGTATTTTGTCAACCGTATGGTGGACTGGACTTCGTCACCATTTTTGCTAGTTGTAAGCAAGAAATTGCAAGTAGATAAATAGGTACCACTTCGGTGGGAAGGTAACAGCATTCCGTGAACCTTGGCGTTTAGTCACGCCGGCCACATGACCACGGAAATGTCTTTGGAACACTCTGGCACTTCGGCTTGGAAACCGAGATGAGCACCGCCCCCTAGAGTTGGATTCGACTAGCTTTCGAGCAAGGGAAACCTTTACCTTTTACCTTTAGGGAGGTAATGCAGTGATCATTTTGGCTGACATTACTCACACCAGTGCTTGAACATTCGGCTTGTCCATAGGAAGGAAAGAAGGGCAAATGGACCCTTTCAGCAGTGGGGAATCAGCGCCACTGGTGTCTCACTGAATGGCCCTCTTAAAAGGGCCAAACAGTATCCAGCAAAAAGTGAATGGCTACCTGAAGCCAGTTGCCAAAGGGTAGTGCCTAGAGGGCCCACAGGGATTGTTTTGAAGAGCTGCTGGCTTCTGCATTTGGTTTGGGAGGTAGTGATGGGAAGATGTGTACATTCACCAGCCTCAATAGATGGGGAGGGGTGTGTGTGTTTAGGACAGGAGAGACCTATGTGTAAAAAAAGAGTGCAAAGAAGAGGAAAGTATTATTTGGGTCTGACTGAAAAATAAATTTATCTGCTGGAGACGTGGAGCACATCATCATCATCATTATTATTACCCCACCTTTCTCCCCAATGGGGACCTAAAGTGGCTTACATCAATCTCCGTTTTATGAGCATCCCTGTTTGATTAGACCGGTGGCCCATCTGGTCCAACATCCCATTTCTCAGACTAACTAGATGCCAAGTGGGGCGTGCAAGCAATAGTCCTCCCCTGCCTTTAACCACCAGCGACCGTTTTCCGGAAGTGCATTGCTTCCATTTAGTTATCATGACCAATAGTCCCATCCTCCATGAATTTACCGAATTCCCTTTAAAACTATCCAGGGGTCATTTCGTAGAAAAAGAGGTGCAGGAGCTCATTAGCATAACTTATTAGCATATGCCACACCCCCTGACATCACCGGAAGTGTGTCAGAAGCCAACACCCACCGCTCAGGCTCCACGGGACTGTTTTGGATTGCTACCTATTGGGGGGAGGGGGAACGTGCAGATCTGTCCTCGCAGAGGAGCTTGTACCTGAATAAAACTTGGTCTTAAAGGTGCCACTGAAATTTTTTGGACCGGGGGGGGCAGGGGGGGCTCTGCAGCTTACCTGGCTGCTTCTTGCTCTGACTGAGGGCTGCTGGGAGCAGGGGGTGGGGCTTATTGCATGTGCCCGTCCCCTGCGCTCTTTACTGCTGGAGCTCCGCTCCTGTGCGCTCCTGCAGGAAATGACCCCTGAAACTATCTAAAACAGGGGCCATCATCACATCTTGTTGCAAATTACGTACATTATGTAGTGCACAAAGTACTTTCTTTTATCAGTCCTGAATCTGTAGCAGTTTCTTTGGGGATTCTTGAGTTGTAGTATTTGGGGAGGAGGAGAAAAATTCACCCTCTTTCTCCACAAATGGGTATCTCATCCCTTCCTGCATCTGACAAAGGGGCCTTTGACTCTCTAAATTCTGTGCCCTGAAACTCTCGTTGGTCTTTAAGGTGCTACTGGACTCTAATCTTCTATCCCTTCCTGCAGTCATCTTATTTTCCCCTAAGCATTTTGGTTGCCCTTTCTGCTAAGGCAGGTACTTCAATCTCTAATCATTTTGGTTGCCCTTTGATCCACCTTTTATAGCAGTATTGTTGAGATGGGGATGGCCAGAACTGCTTCCAGTAGTGCAAAAGTATTCACGTATTAGATTAATGCAAAGGCATTATCATAGCGGCTGTTTTACTTTCAGCTCACTCTCTAATCATTAGTATGGATTTTGGAAAAGTGAAGAATGCCTTGAATGGGAAAAAGGGGGATTTGGAATTAGGCAGAAAGGGAATGAACTTCACACAGGTAATTTAGACTGTGCAGATCCAAAAGGCAGAAAGATTAATTTCACTATTTTTCAAATGTAGATACTTGTTTAGTTTATCATAACCCTTGAGCCAGTGTCAGCATGACTCAGTATTCCACTCCGTTCCATTTTCCATTCTGTTTACGATACTCCAAACTGTTGCCTAGTTACTTACTACTTGGATTTGGAGTTAAAAGTAAATCAGTACCAATACATTCCTATTAGGGAAAATAGCAGCTTTACAAAGAAATGTAAAAGACCCCCCCCCCCGGGAAGGCCGCTTGAAGAAATATGGGAAACATATTAAATAAGCTACACATCTGGTATGAAAAACTTGTGAAATTCCGTTTTCCTCAAGATGAGGCAGATACTGTTCCACTAATAGACACTAACTTTCACACTGAAAAAATAAGGAGATATGGTGATATCCTGAGAAATACAAAGCTACCGATTGACGACAGGGCCAAAGCTGCACACTATATTGGACTGCTGGCTTATACAGGTATGCCGTGAGAGAATGGGACATAACAGGTACAAGTGAGGTCTGAGACTGAATTAGGCAGCCTGTTTTAAAGTATTTTAAAGATCTATAGTTTAGGACTCAGTGAAAACCCTCCCCTAAAAGGATTTTAAAGGAAGGTCGTACTGAAAAAGAAATCTGAGATTTGGGCTGTATGATTCTAGCCAGTCTGGTGGAGTGGTTAAGAGTGGTGGAGTCTAACCTGGAGAACCTGGTTTGATTCCCCACTGCTCCACATGCAGCCAGCTGAGTGACTTTAGGTCAGTCACCGTTCTCTCAGAGCTGTTCTCGCTAGAGCAGTTCTCTAAGTGCTCTCTCAGTCCCACCAGCCTCATAGGGTGTCTCTGTTGTGGGAGAGGAAGGGAAGGAGATTGTAAGTCACTCCAAGACTCCTTAGGGTAGCGAAGGGTGAGGTATCAAACCAACCCTCCTTGTACACATATTGATATGAAGTTTGAGTATCACTACGACATTATCAGAAGCCTTAAAAATGTGATAGATTAAAAATGAGGGGCCCCCCTTCTGTGGCAGTTCAAGTAATCTGCAAGATTGGTGACTCAAGTTCTCTTAAGGACCCTTACATCGTCAGAATGTGTGGTTAAATATGGGCCATTGAGAGGCACTTAACAGCAATAACCTTTCTAGCAATAACCCTGTCCCCTTTGCCATTCCTGAGTTTGCTGAACAAAATGTCAAAGGGCTGAAGAAGCTGCAACAGGAGGGAGGAAATCTCCACCACCCCCATTACATTTTCTTAAGTGCCATCAGCCTTCAGAATATGTGGTCAGGTACAGGCCAATATAATCTAGTTATCTAAAATTATTTATATAACTGACACACAACTATTAACTGTATCAAGCCATAAGATAGGCTCAGACTAGAATCTGGAAAACCCAGGTTCAAATCCTCTGCCATGGAAGTTCGCTGGGTGACCTTGGGTCAGTCACAGTCTCTCAGCCTGACCTACCAACCAGGCCTGTGGCGAGGATAAAATGGAAGAGAATGATGTAAGCTGCTTTGAGTCTCCATTGGGCAGAAAGGCAGGGTATAAATTAACTAACTAACTAAAATTGCCTGGAAGTCTCTATTAACTCTCTATCACATTGTACATTTATTGTACTAGAACATGACTCCAAGCAATGAAAGAGTGCTACAAAAAGGGTGTGAGAGGGATTTGTATGTGGTAGCAGTAAGTGGCGGAAAGCAACTCAAATACCATGAAGGAACCAAGCTTAGACTTCCCTTTTTTTCAGAAGAGAGGGGGCTTCTTTTCAAGCAGAAGGGAGTATTCAGTTTCCACATAAACTTCTTCTTTGGACTTAAGACAAATGCTTTTCTTTGCAGGTGGTGTCACCAGTAGTGCGCCTGCATCAGAATATATTCAGGACATGACTGATATGTTGATCATGGCAGATACTCCCAAGAAGGTGAGGATTGCAGTGCTGAAAGGGTTATGTGGTATATGCTACTTAAGCTACAACAACCAAAACCATGCCAAAGAGCTCCATCTCACCGACATTCTTCTTGCCTCTTTGGATGAGGATGAGGACGAAGACGAAGATTACACTGATGATGATCAGGATATAATCATGGTGAAGTTCTGGGTCTGTTATCTTATGACTGTCGTCTGCTGTAACAACATCCCTTATCTTAAATTATTTCAGGAATCAGGTGGGGAAATGCTAGAGAACAGGCTGGAATCCCTCTCTAGCATGGAATGGTTTGGATGGCCAACAAACTATGCTGAAGTGATGCTTTCACTCCTGGGATTTCAGAATGTACGGTTAGACTAGACCTTGAGGGAAATGCTGTGAAAGGCACATTGACAAAACCATCAGATTACATAGGAGCCAAAATGGATTTTGTATGTTTCCTAAATATTTGAGATTAAAGACTTGCTGTGAAGTCCACATGCTAGCCTTTTCTACTGTTCATAGTTTACAGCTCAAAATATACATTAACAAACCTGCAATACAGTTTCAGGTTCTAGTCCCTCAAGGCTACCCACGCAATCCTTCAAAATCTCAGTAGCCCTTCCTGCATCATTAAAAGTGGCTATTGTGCCCAGTGAATGGGTCTGGCAACACCCGAACGCTTCTGAAGCTAAATGGGTGTGGATCTGAAGAGAGACCAGGAGCCTGTGCAAGTGCAGCGTGAAAATACACAATTCTAAAATATCCCTGCAATGAAATAAACCCACTTCAGCTCACCGCTGCTAAACCTTGTGCAGTAAAGATGCAGATTTCTGTACCATATTCATCACTTGCAAGAGAGTGCCACCTATGTTTAATTTAAGATGGCTCAGGAGTGCACACACAATGACATCTTATGATGCTGAAAAGGTTAATGTTTGAATGAAACGCATTCAAGGAAGATCATTATGTACAGCAAGAAGTTATAAGTTCCAGTCATTTATGTTTTTATGCTATTTTAACAAGTCAGCTGCCTCAAACAGGTGTCATAGAAGTTCCCTAAATACAGTACCTATGTGAAGTTAACTGTTGCATATATACCTTTCTTGTCCGTTACTATCAGTATTAAAAATTTTCCTAAATAAAACAGTCCAACAACGCAAAATAATCCAAAGTGCCACTAGTCTCCTGATTTATTTAGTTAACACAGACAAACGCAAGCTACCCACCTAGCCTTGTCCTAATTCAAATACCTCTCAACCTTATTATTGTGTCCTTCAGGTATTACACACCACAGAATTCACTAAGGGGGCAATCCTAAGCAGTCTAGTCAGCGTAAAGTCCCATTTTAGTTTCCTCCTAGAAAAGAGTTCTTGGGAGTGTTGGAAGAGTAATTAACACAGCAACATCGATCACCCTGATTAAACATTAGATAAGGGTTTATTTAGGAACTAACATACTTGATAGCAGGGGTCATTTCGTAGAAAGAGGTGCAGGAGCTCATTAGCATAACTCATTAGCATATGCCACACCCCCTGACATCACCAGAAGTGTGTCAGAAGGCAACATCCACCACTCAGGCTCCATTGTTTTCGATTGCTAGCTGTTTGGGGGGGGGGGACATGCAGACTGTTCTGGATTGTTCTGGATTGGGGGGCTGGGGGAAGCTCTGCAACTTACCTGGCTGCTTCTTGCTCTGACTGAGGGCTGCTGGGAGCAGGGGGTGGGGCTTGTTGCATGTGCCCGCCCCCTGAACTCTTTACTACTGGAGCTCCGCTTCTATGTGCTCCTGCAGGAAATGACCCCTGCTTGATAGTAAAGAGGAGAGACAGAGATAGGTTCCTAACTACATTTCTAGCTGAGAGAAGCAGGATATTGCCCTAACAGTAGCAATCTGGAGAAAGATAAGGAATGACACTTATCCTGACTTCTTGCTTTCCCCTTCAGGGTTGTCTTCTTCTTTGTACACCAATGTCTGTTCCGACAGGAAGTACAACGTTAATATCTTAGTCAGCATGCTCAGAACAGTAATATGGTAGGACTGCAAAATGTTTTATAGAAATACATTCTCTTTAAGTGACATTATTTCAGAGTTCATATATATGCCTGCGTCTATATATATCTATTATATCTATCTATATCTATATATATATAAAAAAAACACTAAGAATTGTCCAATATTGATTCTCTTAAAAACAAATATAAACATAATCCCCCAAATGCCTTCAACTGTGTTGATTACATGAGACTGTTTCAGTAAGACTATCCTTGTATGTAAATACATCGTTCAGCTTTAGGAAGCAGCAGTTCCTTCCTTGAATATCCTAATAGTCTGTGTTGAAGTACATCAACATGTCTCTGGGAGAACCCAACTCTCAGCTCCCATCCTCTGTTTGAAGCTTGAGAATCCTGTGCCTCACAGCAGTTTCTTTTAGTCTAACCTGAATATGTTTATAAGGTAAAGGTTCCCTTGCTTGAAAGCCAGTCGAGTCCGACTCTAGGGTTGCGGTGCTCATCTCCTTTTCAAAGCCAAAGAGCCAGCGCTGTCCGAAGACATTTCCGTGGTCATGTGGCCGGCATGACTAAACACCAAGGCGCACGGAACGCTGTCACCTTCCCACTGAAGCGGTACCTATTTATCTACTTGCAATTTCTTGCTTTCGAACTGCTAGGTTGGCAGGAGCTGGAACTAGAGACGGGAGCTCACTCCGTTATGCGGCACACTCGGGTCTCGAACTGCTGAACTACTGACCTTCCACAGCCTGCAGTTCAGCATCTTAACCACCTGAGCCACCGCAGCTCCTGAATATGTTTATAAACTGCTGTAAATGGTATGTTGACCAATTGACTTTCAGTACATGATGGTCTCCCTTTCCAGTAATAGTTTAACTCCATACTTGTACAGCTGAAACTCAAGTGTATAGAGAGCATTACTCTTCTCAGCTTGTTTTAGGACTTTAATCTGTACAGATAATAGGTCTGAGAAAGCTGTCATACTGAGAGAGGTTCCATTTCCATTACGAGGGGCAAGGCTAGAAGGAAGAATTTCTTTAGGAATGTAGCTGTAGTATATTGCAGTAAGCTGAGTCTAGGGGCAACTCAAGACCCCAGATATTGTCTAATGAATAGTCGGCATGCACAGATCACACCCCTCTGAGTAAAAGGATTTGAAAGAACCTTAGAACAGTGCAGGATTACTCCCCCCCCCCCACGGTTATAATTTATACCTATGTAGCACTTAAACTTATGCTTTGCCTAATTCTGGTATTAGACCACTTCCCATTCAGAAGTAAGATACTAGCAATATACATCACACCTCTGGCTAAGCTGTGTCTATTCAGAATGGATAAAGCTCCCCACAGGTTCCGGCAGAGAAACTTGAAGGAGACTGAAGTCACTAACAGCCAGTTAAGCGTAGTGGTTAAGAGCGCGGACTCTAATCTGGGAGAACCAGGTTTGATTCCCCACTCCTCCACATGCAGCTGCTGGTGTGACTTTGTGTCAGTTACAAGTTGTTTCAGAGCTATTCTCAAAAGAGCTCTCTCAGGCCCACCTACCTCATAGGGTGTCTGTTGGGAGGGGAAGGGAAAGGAGATTCTAAACCACTCTGAGACTCATTCGGGTAGTGAAGGACAGGGTATAAATCCAATCTCTTAAGTACATACAGAATGAAGTACTAGCCACTTTTCCGTTGGGGGGGGGGAAGGGAATTACATCTCAGCTTGTTTCTTGGGAATGGGGGAACAAACCACTGACATTTTAAAGGAACAGTTCCCACAGGAACTTTGAGAAACACGTATACTTCTGATGGCAATACCGTACAACCAGTAGTGACAGTACCAATGTTTTTCATTGAGTGATAATATACAGTTTCATCCCTGCTGTTCAACACCACTTCCTAACCAAACCCCATTTCCAAGCTAGTAGTAAATTATGTTTCTGCTATTCCTGTAGCACAAATGATCAGTCACTTCCGATACAATTAAAATGTGTGCCGGTTGCATTTCTGATATGTCTGATTGGGCAAGGTGAGTACTTGCTTCAACATCCAGTGCCATCAGACTTACAAGTAGGGGAGAACTAGGTACTATTCTGAATTGTTCAGAAACTGCTCAAGGTTTAACAGAAGCCTTACTTAGGGATATATATTTCAGTCTGGTTTATTCTGATAAAATACACTTCTAATTTATGTTTTAGGATTCTATTCTATACATATGTAAAGCTAAATCAGGAACTTGAAGTTTAACACGATCAAGTTTTAAAGGCTTCCAGCCTGTAAAAAGGTAAAGGTTCCCTTGCTCGAAAGCCAGTCGAATCTGACTCTAGAGTTGCGGTGCTCATCTCCGTTTCAAAGCCGAAGAGCCAGCGCTGTCCGAGGACATTTCCGTGGTCATGTGGCTGGCATGACTAAACACCAAGGCGCACGGAACGCTGTTACCTTCCCACCAAAGTGGTACCTATTTATCTACTTGCAATTTCTTGCTTTCAAACTGCTAGGTTGGCAGGAGCTGGAACTAGAGACGGGAGCTCACTCCGTCATGCGGCACACTCGGTCTCGAACTGCTGAACTACCGACCTTCCACAGCCTGCAGTTCAGCGTCTTAACCACTTGAGCCACCGCAGCTGTAGTTCACAACTAACATTGCATTGATCTACCCAAGCGATTCGGCTCCTCTGCTGTCCAATTCTCCACACTCAGAATCTAAGCTACGCTCCTGTCTTCAAGGTGATCATCACATGCATTTGCTGTCCATCACATTCCAATCAAGCCACAAGAGGGTAGGACTTTCATTAGGGCTACTATATCACCAGATGCGAAAACCCATTTGCTCATTGGGTGTTGTATGTAAGTGAGTATGTGAGTACAATGGAGACAATTAAGTTTATTTGGCAGTTAAAGGAAATGTATTAATACATGGATAAAAACTATTTACATGGTGAAATACATAGTATTTCCATCTTACACAAGCAGCCAGATGCAGTTAACAATTCAGACAGGATACAGTTACTAGCACTGGTACAAATTACTTGCCACAATTTACATTTTAGATCTTAAATTATCAGTTTTCAGAGGATTTCATTCCTGCCCTACCCAAGTCATCTCTGGCAGTTTATTCACCCCTTAAAGCACTGATAGGATACAAGCAGCCTCAGTGTTAAGGATTACTGGTTTCACATGTACGTAGATCTGTAATGTTCTCTGTAGAACAGATCTGTGAGCATTCCTGTCCAGAGTCACCATCCAAATTCTCTTCTGCAGGAGGATTTTCATGTACAGTTTCCTCTGGGTCTAGAGTTTTCAGCGTCTCAAAGCTTTCTGGTGCCTGTTCAGTTAGTTGCTGGTGAGACATAAGCAAAAGTTACTTACAAAGTACCACTGGATGATAATATTCGCAGATGCTTACACTACACACCAGTAATTAACAGCTTAAGTCTTTCTTGAAGGTAATACAGTGCAGTCAGTGGCAATCAAGTTAAATGCACTGTTACTTTGTTCTTGGATACACAGTAGATTCAAGTAGCTGGAGTGTGAAATATTTGAGGTACTGAAATCTATGAAGAAACTACCTCAGAAATGTTTGCTGAATACAAAAACAAGGCAAGAAAATATTGGATATAACTTGGAAACTGAGGCTTGTATTAAAAGCTAGGCAAGTAACAGCAAAACATCTGTGTGCTAAAATAACCACAAGAGTAAATATACAAAAGGAGACTTCAGCAAAGTGAAACACATAAGTAATCAGCAATAAATCTGTACATAAAATCCATCATAGGAAATATAGAGGTCTACAGAATGCATCAAGTCCAAAGCAGATATCCAACACTGTTCCTAGGTAGTATACAGTGTTTCAGACTTCTGGTCCTTCCTCAGGAACCAAGAGCCACAATAGAAAGTCTCATTCCAATTTCTTTACAAGACAATATTGTTCAGTTTCTTTATGCACCTCTCAAGGTTGCTACTATGTAGATCAGGACCAAAAATGCCTCCTGTTCTGTGGACACTGGCTCAAGGGTTATGGTAAACTCTTGCGGGTATTTCCGCACACAGTTGTTTTGCCATTGCTTGCCATTTTGTATTGTGTGCTGCATTGTTTTGTTATTTGTTTGTATTAAAAGCTAGGATTACAAATGTCTAACATGGAATATGAATGGAGCAAATGCTCCTCAAAAGAGAAAAAAGTATTTCATTTGAAAACCTTAAAACAAGATATTATTTGCTTACAAGTGATCCATATTAGAAAAAATATAAAATATGTGGCCCATAAAATTTTGGGCGAAAAGAAAAATGGAGTTGTGTTGTATATTAAATCTCAATTAAAACCAGAATTGATACTGATCATGAAAGATTGAGTTTACATGAGGCTCTTACAGTGCCTGAGTGGAGACTCAAGAACAAGTGGTACAGAACTCAGAGAGGTCTGATGGGTGTAAACAAGGAGAAAGAAGCAGAACTGCTATGTTTACCGACATCAAGGCGAAATAAGAAAGCGACTAAAAAGAGCCAGCAGAAAAGGGAAAAGATAAGAAGAAAAGTGCAAAGACTTGGATACGGAAAGAAGGAAAAGACAGGGACAATGTATGCGAAAGATTGAGAAGGACAAAATGGCTTGGAAGTATGAATATGTGCATTTTACCAAGGAGAGAGTGGAAGTGATGTACCAACTATGTAAGGGGAAAGACCATGTAGACATGCTACTAAGGGAAAAGAAGCTTCAGGTCCATAGAAGGCAAATTAAATTATATGAATTGTTATATTTATTGTGTTTCTCTGTCTGACTGTGGAAAAGGGCTTGAATAAAACATCCTGATGTGAAAAAAAATGAATTGAATAGATTAGAGTATAATTGGATGAGGGTTTGTAATTTTGACTTAATGGGTGGTGGTATGAATTATTGTAAGTAATGAGGAAAAAGAAGCATCAGTTCCACAGAAGGAAAATTATATAATATGAATTGTTATATATATTGTGTTTTTCTGTTTGATTGTGGGAATAAATTAAGAGTATTTGGTTGCGAAAAAAAAAGAGTTGAATAGATTAGAGCTTTGTTTGATGTGGGTTAGTAGATGTGATTTAAAGGGTGGTGAGATAAATTAATGTATGTTTTTGGGGAAAGTATACAAAACTGCTTGCATTGCGGGACTTTGTCTATCTGTTATTCTGGGTTTTGTGTGTGTGTGTGGTACCTCTTTAAAGATTTGGGGAAAATGTGTAATTTGGAATGAATTAGGTAGGAGGCAAGTATAGGGAAAATAATGATAAAAATGAGAGGTGTTGATAGGAAGAAAAAAGTAGTAGCAGTAGAGAAGATGGTCAAAATGTGAGGGGGGGAAATTTTTTTCAGACAGAAGAAGGGTGTGATTTATAAAATAATACTAAAAAAGTGCATAAATATATTGACAAACTTTAATTGAATTATATGAAGTGGGAAACCCAGGAAAGAAATGGAGAACATACTGTCTACTGGTGAAAGATTAACTATGAGTAGTACAGCAGTTAAGGTTTGAGGACAATCCTGACTTAGGTAGGGAGGTAAACAAGGAAAAATTTGAAATAACTATAAAAAATAATAAATCTAAAATAATAAATAAAAATAAATTAAAGTAATATGAAATATGTCTTCTATGGAGAAAGAAGGGAATTAGTAGGAATTAGTAGGAAGTTTGTTAGTAACCTGTCAAGAGAGGAAAATGTGAATTTAAAATGGTTGTTATATTTAATAATTTATAAAAGAGTGAAACGAAACTTAACAAATATTAGTATCGGACGTGTGTATTTGAAAATGTCATTTATTTAATGAGTGAGAAGAAAGGAAATTTATATTGACTTGGTTGATGTGTTGCTATTAAGATATGTATTTAAATCATAAGTAAATTAATTGGAGATATATTAAGAATATGATTGTGGTTGTGAGCATGTGAAAACCCAATAAAAATATTCATACAAAAAAAAGATTGAGTTAAATAGAAGTTATTACAAGATGTATATAAGGTATTACAAGATGTAAAGGAAAGTGGAGGTCTTGGTTTACCTGTTTTGAAACTATACTTTGCTGCTTGCTGTTTAATGTAGATGAAAGAATGGGGTTTGCTAAGAAATAGAAGGCTACTGGAGTTAGGACACAATTTAAGATTTAGTTGGCATGGCTATTTATGGTATGATTAACTTTTAACTTTATGTGGATTTCAAAGATCATTATATTAGACATGCCATTTTGAGAATATGGAATAAAAATAAACCTAGCCTGTATCTGAAAACATCGTTGTGGCTTTCAACACAAGAAGCATTTTATAGGCCGGACGGATTTACTGCAAAGTTTTATAAAAAAATGAAAGAAGAAATTGTTCCGGCCATGGAAGCTTTATCCAACGACATACGTGAGAGCAAGAAGGTGCCGGACTCTTGGAAGGAGGCAATTATCTCATTAATACCAAAGGAAGGACAAGAACCAACGAATGTGAAGAATTACAGGCCAATCTCTCTTTTGAATAATGACTACAAGATTTTCGCAAAAATCATTGCGGAAAGGGTGAAAAACTATTTACAAACAGTGATTTCAGAAGACCAAGCTGGTTTTTTACCAAAAAGACAGATTCGAGACAATGTAAGAATAGTAATGGATGCAATTGAATATTATGAGAAACACCCTGAACAAGAAGTAGCCTTCTTATTTGTCGATGCTGAGAAGGCATTTGACAATCTTAACTGGAAGTTTATGCTTCAGATGAAAAAAATAGAAGTGGGACAACAATTTAGAAACTGTATTGAAGCTATCTATTCTGAACAAAGAGCCAAACTGAATGTAAATAAAGAATTGACTGATAGCTTCAAGGTACAGAAAGGTACTAGGCAGGGTTGTCCCCTATCACCGTTATTATTCATTTGGGTGTTGGAGATACTTCTACAAAAAATACAGCAAGACCAAGAGATAACGGGATTGACACACAAAGGGCTTAAATATAAATACCGAGCATTTGCTGACGATGTAATGTTTATTGTGCAAAACCCGATAGAAAAGTTACCGTTACTATTCCAAAAAATAAAGGACTTTGGAGAATTG